TTTGGTTGTTTTGATTTTTTCCGACAACGTAGTGTAAAATGTCAGACAAGACATGAACGCACCCTCGCAAACTATCATAATATCAGTGAGTTCACGTGAGTTTTGAGTTCCTCTAACTGTCCCCGTTTTGCAACAATTGAATACAATCTAGGATAACACAATTAAAAGAAACTTCCTTGTTTTCCTATAGATGGAAAGAATACCTGTTTTCACCAGTTTTGTTGTAAGCAATTAATGGGTTTAAACTCTCCATATTACAAATAAATTCTCTATAAAATGAATTCGATTTTATTTCCAGTTGCCCTTGTCTTTTTTCGACACAAAAAAAATCGAAAATTACCCCCATAGAATATACCTTTATACATCTCTTCGAAGTTAACTGAACTGAAAATTAGTTATCACTGATGCTCGGTTTAACCTAGATAATTACTAATTTTTAGTTCTAGGTTTTCGGTGCAATCGAATTACATGGAGTATTTAGCCGAAATGTCGATTTGCCCCCCTGCCTTTATGATCAAACAGGAATTTTTCAGAGAGGATAAAAAAATATGATAAAATTTTTTACTTTACATTTTCTCTCGTCGTCTGTAGCGCAGGCTACATTTTCTCAACACATAGTTTTTTTTTGAAAAAGAGGCCACGAATTAAAGACACTGGACATCGAATGCCCAGTCTGAAAAATTGAATGCAGTCGCGGAATAGGCAAAAGAGCTGCCAAGGGAATTTCAACTTACCAGAGCTTTTCCAATTAATGTCTGTCCTGCTTCGGGCCGGCTTCTTGAAGTGACTAAAATGAAAACCTACTGCCTGTTTTATAGTTGAAGTATCATTATCTATTTCCGCTTTGTAAATTGCCTATCCCCGGCGATGTGTCTGTGGGCAGTTTCGTCGCCTGTCAACGCGTACTACCTACACTCAATGGCAATTTAATTCCTCAGTCTGCAGAAAAAACTTGTTCCCGTTTCCGACTGTCGCACGCAAAAAGTCATTTAGTACGTGACTTGGGATCGAAAAACAGAGGAAAAGTTTAGGGAAATAAAGGGCCTAAAACGCAAGGCTATTATCCAAAGTTATTGAAATAACTTGTTTCGTTTTCATTGTTGCTTAAACTATAATTATAAAGATTTGTAACCTCTAATTATTGCGGTTCTTTTAGTGAGTCACTTTGGCGACATCTGCTACGAACGAATAGCGGGTGTTCAGTTTATATTACTCTGCACAACCGATCGGACCAAGCCTTGAAAAACTCCTTTCCATTATTTTCATGTGGGAAGAAGTTGCTTTTTCCTGTGTTACTTCAATTTCAACAACGTCAGACTGAAAGCTTCTCAAACGCTTTGATGTCTAGCCTTGATCATGGCAAAACGCAGGTGTCCTGCATTGTTCTAAAACCTTACATCAGATTCTCGGCATGTCTAGCAACGGTCGATGATGAAATTTTAACTTTAAATTAACCTTTTGCCGCCACTGGGTGCCAAAAAACAAATTAATTTAGCAAGTTTATAAAAAATCCTCATTGGAAAAGGCCCTCAACAGCTAATGACTACTGGGACAAACGAACTTACGCAGGTTATGTTATGCTATGTTACACGATGTTACAATAAACTACTCTACATGAAATTGTGGTGCTGGGGGGGGGGGATTCGGAAATTGGTCACCGCTGAGACAAGTGCTTATCCTATACCAGATGCCAAATTTCCCTAAGCTATTTCACATTTTATTTACGCTATTTAAATTCCTCTTTTAGACTAAATTCTTGTTTCTCTATTCTCTATACCCTATCTCCGGCTAATCAGCTTGGAAATCACTTCTTTTATTTTTTATCTTTGCGCCCCCTCGGCTTTTCTCCCGGCACTTCTTGGTAGCTCGCACGTGAATAGTCACACCTTAGTTCATCCAAAGACCCGCTTTGGACAGTATAATTAACGGTCACGTTCGAATATCACAGATCAAAATTTAGAGCCAAATACTTTTAAAAACAGAAAAAATTGACAAGTTTGTCATTTTTCTTTTTTTTCGATATTTTGTTCGGTTTAAAGATATGCAATGAGTATCTGATAAAGTACAAATTTGATCGATAAAGAGACTATGTAAGCTGATTTCAATCTCTTCTTTTATCTGATGTTTTGAGGTAATATACTGCGGTTAAACAGGAAATCTTGCAACAAAACTCTCGACAAAAGCGGGCCGGGCTTTCATTTCGACTCTATCATCTTCTCGATTTTGCTAATTTCAGTAAAAATTGAACACAAGAACTTTTTAAAGTACCAAGTAACTATACTGCTGTTTTAAGTATTTTTCCAGGGACCAATGAAAACAGTTGTTTGACTCTTTTGAAATTACTTTCAATTTTCCGGTAAAGGAATTTCTGACAAGTTCATTTCTACAATTTCACTCACGAAGGGCATAACGTGGGTTGAAGTGTTGGCGTTTTCTCACAGGTTAACATTTCCGGAAAAAAAACGTCGAGATCTTAAGGCGCCAGTGTTAACGCTGGCGGTAGGTATAGCCATGGCATTTATTGACACTTTTCCAAACTCTTTCATCTGTGGAACCCGCGGAGTGGGTGCCGAAAAAGTGAAGGCTTTGGCGCCATAAAGATTGCCCGAGGCAGCTTATCACCCATCAAACAATCCGAAAACCAAATTCAAGCAGACCTGTTGAACTTCAAGTTGTCATGCAGTAAATGATTTTAATTAGGAACGGCTGGAGCTGATTATGCATTATGTAGAATATTTTTTCTTGCTCCCACCGGCTGTAAAAACATTAAAAATTGAGGAAAAATACAGACATTTCCTCTTGTTTCTTGTATAAACATTGGTTTCTTCTGTCAATAAAAGCTTAATGATTTTCCGGATCTGAGCTAAGGGATGGTACTGTTCCAGAGCAAACAATGAAGAATTATTATTGTTTTCTGGTGATTTTTCCCCTTTAGGCGTGGCCAAAAGCCTTCTTAATTTCTAGTCAGGCCTTTTGTCAAATTCAATAAAATAAAAAGCTTTTATAGTCAATTGTCTTTCTTTTTTCCCATGCTATGCCATTCAACTATCATATTTCTAACGTTTCTCGCGCTGTGGAACATAACCACGGGCCAGTAAACTGGACTGACGCTTCCTAGTATATTATTTTGTCCATGAGAGTCAGACTTCCATTTTCATATAGACGATGTCTTCATTTAATTAAGAGACCAAAAGATATAAATCAGAATAAAGTACTGTAGGGTATGAGCAATGCGAGATTATATGATTGGCCCCTACAAATCTAGGTTATCCGCATTGATGCTAGCAGTGATCAAAGTCGAATTTCTCAAAGAAGTGACTTAACTTTTGAATGAAAATTTTCATGACAATTTTAGGTGTGATAACACAATTAGATGAATTCCTTTGATTTCAAGCTCGACTCTCTGCCGTCTTGATAAATTTTAGGGATTAGAAATTAGAATCTGTATTTAATGCTCTGAATTATTGAGGCCGATCAGTTCCTTGTCAGTTCTCAGTGTGGCCACTGGCTATATTTCAGTCGTGTTCCTTTTCTGTTTTAACTACGTAGCATTACGGTACTTCTTTAATTAAAAATGGCACTAATTTTTATAGTTTGGCCAAATGAACAGTCGGAAGCTTAGCTACTGAGCTCAGCTTTTCTCCTGCACAGCATTCCACAAGCTCATTAAACGTATTGAGCAAGAAGTCATGTGAAGCTCTTTCAGTTTAAGACTATCATTAAATAACAGTTACTGACGCGATGCCAGGGTGCATAAACAGTTGTGTTTTCCTGTGACGATGTTACGTTTATTGTTAAGGGTTACGTTATTGTATGAAATTCCATACGGATGAAAAGCTTATGCTAGTGGTCTAATAGTATACTAGTACGTCGGCTTCAGCCTAACTCGGCTTCAGCTCGTAATAATTTACAGCAATGTCGCCAGTTCTGGCTAATGACAACCTTGACAAAACACCTGATTTGAAAGTTTAACGAGCATTGATCACAGAAATCTTCAGTTACAATTTAAAAGTAAAACACTGCGTGTATTTCGACATTTGATACCGCTGGTTCTTATAGTGTGCAAGTTGTCTCACAGGGCCCAGTTTACTGGCTGCAGGTGCCGCTTGTAGGTTTAGTTTTCAAAAATCACCAGCCGATTATGACTTGCCCTCAAGATGTCCAGCTCCGGACTTCAAAGAACACTGCCCTGAAACTTTTTTAAAAAAGATTTAGGTATGCTTTTGTCGAGCAGCCTTTTGAAAGAAAATTGATTTTGCCGGAGATAATTGGATAATTAAAAAAGAAATGATATGTGAAATGATATAACTTCTGGAAGCAAAGTTATGGAATAATGAATTAGGCACTGAAAAGTTAAGGTAGCATTTTGATAACAAAGGTCAATGGAATACTAGAAAGATATCAGAATTTTGTAGGAGAAAAAATGCTTCCAAATTTCGAAAAAATCCCAAGCTAACTTGCTCGAGGTGTTTTAGCTATCTGTGCAGCTGATGAATTGGATGCTCTGAAATTACTTTTTTTATAATGTTGAGAAATATTTGTTGACACACAGGTGTTGACAGCTGCCTAGAGTTTGAATGGGATTTATGACAAAAGGTGTCATAAGGAAAACAATTACCTGTTAGGCTAAAACCAAGGCACGCCCAAGAGCTTTTTGTATTGTTAAAATGCTAAACCGAAAACGACAGTTTATACCCATTGCCTGCAAAAAAACACAAGTGATATAATTGAACAAGGCTTGTTTACTTGGGAGATCAAATCAGGTTATTTTGGGCGGCCGACCTGTCTCAATTAAGATAATCTGACCACCTGTTCTCATTAGCAAAACAAAATGAAAAATTGTCTAAAATTATTGCGTCATCCCTTCTTCTGTAGATCCCTGTTAGAAATCAGTTTCGGGAGACCACAAAAACGATGAAGAAGGAACTTGAAGGAATAGAACTACAATTATCGCAGAGCTGGAATAATTTCTCACCCTTGACTTGTAGTTCACGCTTCAGATGACACGATTGTTTACCTTACTTTTGTTTGCACAATTACTCGCAGGGCTGTTTATGGCTGCACAATTTTACTTCTTAACTTTACAAGATGGTGTCAGGGATTTTCAAGACAAGCGCCTTAAAAGCGCAGCAAATCCTTCAGATGCAATCAGTCGAACAGGAGAAAATTTGCGTTTCAAGGAAGGACAATTGTATAACGAGGTGCGCAAATCCCATGTGCAGACTTCACGACGTTTATACTTGACTTATCAACCTCCGGATGGCGGTTGGAATAATCACCGTATTGCCCTTGAAAATGCAATCATCTTAGCCAAGTTACTCAATAGGACGTTAATTGTCCATCCGGTCGCTTCGCATGACATGGCCATTTCTTTGAGAAAAAAACGTCTTGCGCAGTGGAAAAACCTGGAAAAACGTTCGGGAATCAACTGGGTGTATAACCACATGAGTGACAGAGATCTAGTGCCCATTTCACGGGTACTTGACCTTGGGCGCATTCGAAGTATTGTAGAGGTTTTTGAAGTTAGGACAAACCATCTAACGTTCCGAGATGAATTTTCGCATTTGAAATGGCATTACGTTTGTCATTCCGATGCACTGGGTTTTTGGGTTGATTCGATTCCTGCGGGAAACGAGAGTGTAACCCGAGGGATCGCCTTTGTCCCAAATAACAGTTCGAGGAGCGTTAGGGCGTGTCCTGTGGAAACAGTTCTACTTAAGCACGCTAACAAGCCTGTAATTCGGAGAATTTTAGAAGAACTTCAAAATGTGCAGGCCGATGTCATCTACTTGTCCCAAGATACAAGCTACAAAGCTAACGTTCAATTTTTCCACATGAAAGACGCGCTTAAAGCTCAACAGTGGATATTAAGTAGCATGTGGCTTTCACCTCATGTCTACAATAGAGCGTTTCAAATCTTAGCAATCCTACCCAAGCCGTTTAACGCAATACATGTTAGACGAACAGATCACAGAGTTAGCTCAAGCGAGGCGCCTTCTTACTGGCTTCATAACATGGCGAGGCAAAATTTCCTGAACGTGTCAACAGCTCTTTACGTAGCTACAGACGAGAGAGATAAGAACTGGTTTACGCCGTTTTCCAAAGCAGGATATCAACTGTATTTCTCAGACGAGTTTTTTGAGTCTTCAGGGCGTTCGTACGATATGGACATCCGGGGACTTTATGATCAACTTGTCTGCGTACACGCGAAGTTGTTCGTGGGCTCAAAAAGCTCGAGTTTTAGTGGCTTTATTTACCGATCAAGGAAAGAAGTAATGATTAAAGACGGTTTAATTCTGAGCCACATGCCAATCGGCTGGTTAGGACACAGACTGAAAAGTAGTTGAGAAACTCTATCAATCGCGATTTTTGACACTCTTTTTTAAAAACTTCATTCATCACGGAAGAGTGGTTTTGTACGAGTTTTGCAACAGAGATCGTGTATAAATGGTATTTTGTATCAGTTTTTTAGTACTATGAAACAATTTTGACATTTTTTGCGTAAACTCAGCCTTTTTTAAGTAGACAGTTAAAAAATTCTTTTTTTTCTTTTTCAAATTCAAATTCTTTTCAAATGTGACGGCCTTTCCGCTTAGTTTCTGTAAATATGTGTGTATGAACCCATCTTATAATACATGTTTTTGTATATCTTCTGCTTCTGAGTTCTTTTGACTCTCTCTCTCGTTAATTAAGGTGTTGTTTTATAAGCAAGTAATCCGCGATAAGCACTAGTTTTGTATGTGATTTGTGCGATCCCGTGAAAGGCTCAAATGAGTCAATATTGTTACGCTAATTGCTATCTTTACAAAAAGCTAAAACTTTTTTTGTTACATCAATTGAAACCCAAAAATAACCAGGTCCACATTTGTTATTCAAGACTATATTTAGGCATTAAAACTGTCAAAAGGTGCGGTGTAGGAGGGTTTCACGTGCTCCACATATCTGTTAAACTCTGCGCGCGCGTAGCCAAATGATTGACTTAAGTTGTGAAGCTAACTGTGACAAAGGTATGACCATATGAAAATCATTTATGAGGACTGCGGGGTGAAGAATTATATGGAAGAAGATCATCGCAGTTATAGACGCAACTTTTGCAGCTGCGAAAAGAAAGCCTGAAAAAATTCAGGCTTGCAGGGGATTCGAATAGTCAGGTCTCTTAGGGTCAGGATCGTTACAGAGTTGACAAAAGCACCAAACTTTGCACAGCGATAGCTTATTGCAGTACCATGAATATTAGAGGGGGTGCCCACTGCAAATATGCCACTGAAGCGTGCTAAACAGGATTTAATTATTGTAAATTTCACCTGCTGGGGTCCCTGTGGTGTTTTGATTGAAAATTGTTATTTAATACCTTAAATCACTCTGAATTCTATTCTCAGGTTGTAAACAACAATTTCACTCGAACATCTGGCATTCCCATCCATTTTTGCTTATTGATTGTGTAATTAAGTTGATTATTACTGTGCCCTTAAAGCAAGTCCACAGTCCGCCCACATTTTCATAAGTCATTTCTAAGATGGCCTCGTCTTTGCTTCATAACTTGCAAGTACTCAGCTTCTGGGGTCTCTTCTCCTTTTCTAATGTATTTCAATTAGAGGAGGCCTTATTGTGTGGCTTAAGCCTTATTTATCAAGTATTACTTGTCGTTACATGTCACTTTAAGCTGAAGAAAGCAAACAAAATTTCAGAAAAAAGAAATTGTCAAAGAGTCTGTTGTATCACATATTATCAGGGATTTATGACAGCTATTCATGAAGAGCAAATAACGAAATGACAGAACCCAAAATAGTTCTTTCCTAGGGAGGTAATTAATTTTTCAGCTTAACATAGGCCTGGATGCCTTTCAGTCTCTCTTTATCCAGTTATCTGCTGGACGCAAGTGCATGTTTTGACAGAGAAGCAAGCACCGTGGCACAAGTCATATCATTTACAATTTCCGCAGTTTGTCTAAGCTTTACAAAGCAAAAACAAACAAAAAAGAATCTGGTCTCATAAACGAAAAAAAGAAACAAGTTAGCCCAAGCTTCAAAAAACAGCACAGTTTATCATGAAGCCTCTACATTTGGCACTGAAGCACTCATGTCCAAAAATAATAACAGCTTATCAAGTCGTAAAAGTGAGACTCAAGTGGTACAAGATTGACTCAAATGATAAATGGTGAATAGTTTAACTGCTGAAACTGTAGAAAGGGGGCCGGGCTAACTTTTAGGGCCTGTTTACATGGAGGAAGGGGACCCCAGGTAGGAATGGTAACCCACTTAGGTGGGGTAACCCGCCTGTCCATATAATCTCTCATTTTAATTTGATCACGTTTACATGATAGGTGGGGTCACCCTTCAAGGTGGGTAGCCCGGTCTGCCACACCAGGTAACCCTCTCAGCTGAGGTCAAATTTTGCCATGTCAACGTTTCAAGGTGAGGAAACCCAGGCTAGTCGGGGTCGGATTCGAGATACATCAAATTCGCGCAAAATTCACTTTGGCGCTGGGTGGCTTCACATAATTATTAAAGGTAACAATAGAAAGCCACAACACTGAAGGTTGCAGCAAGAGCAGCAATTGAGCGTAGACGTGGTTTGCCAGCATTTTTCTTGTTTACATGGTTAGCGACCATTCATATAATCTTGAGAAACTGCACCCCAGGATGGCGGGGTTGTAAGATTGCATGTAAAGGAGGGTTATTTTTTTACCCCACCTAAGCAGGTTACCTCACCTACCTGGGGTCCCCCACCTTTATGTTAACAGGCCCTAAGTCTCAGGAACCGTGAAACTGGTAATAAACGGTATACCTAACCCGGGACTAGCTGTGATACTACCGGCCATCTTCAAGAACGTCAGCATAGCAGCCAAAGAAGCCATTATATCGGTGTAAAACGAATATTAGATTGCGGTTGTTTCATGCGTCTTGTTTTGTGACTATTTCTGTGTTCGTTTTTGTCACCATCTCTAAATATCAATCATGTTCAAAACACCCCTACTAACAAAATATTTCGTAAAGCTCTTTAGAATGATATTCAGCAATAAAAACAAGGTGTGACCAGGAGCCGATTTCTAGGCTCCTGGTGTGGCAACATAGGCATAAGTGAATGCAAAGTTTTGCAGTATGTAATCTGTCAAAAATCTGTTTGAGTGGTCAAAGTTGGGGCTGATGGGCTTCTTTATCATGACCACTCCATTATTATAAGGGACCAGGCCATAATTATTGTTGACCCTTGCTTTTTTGGTATTTTAGGTAATTTTCCACAGCATTATTTTGTGAAAAGCTGGTAACTGAATTGCTCTTGAGGAATTCATGATCGTAAGATTTCGTAACCACGGGGTATTCGCCTAATTGCATCAAACAAATTACATTCATTTTCATAAATGATGCATCATTGGTTGGCTAAAAGAGGCCTTGTTCCTGTAAATTTCAGCTCTTCTGAAGTTAGTTTGTTTGTAAATTGTAACGCACGCGACGACCTTCCTTTTTTTTGAAAGATCGTATAGACGTACCATTAACACTCTGGTCCAAGGGCTCTGAAGTGAATGAGCCGCTTACAGGTGTATAGGCATGCAGGGACCTCATACACTTCTTTTTAAATGCAAATGTGCAAAAAATAAAGAGTGTTAAAAATTCCTGGAGAGGCATGTTTTACAACCTCGTCCCCAGGGCTTAATAAAAAGGTAGAAAAAGGTAAAGCGACCATATTTTACGTCAATAACTCGTGACAGTAATAATAAGTGATAAACTTGAGGTCGACGGTGCGCTCCTTTTACCCCCCTCTCTCCATTAATTCTCCGTTTTAAAGGTATTTAAAGCTAGTCAAAGCTACACAGAAAAAAGAGAAGTTGAAATAAGGAGGTGTTGACACCGGGCTCGAACTCGGGACCTCTCGCCCCGAAGGCTGCGCACTAACCAACTGTGCCACCCTTGCTCCTCCTTTTCCCCCTGAGGACGAGGTTGACATGTTTTAATCATTATCTCAAGGACAGGGTTACCAACGAAGCAAATTATAATCTAATCTTAGCTGCACAATTACAAAGTGGGCGCGTTGTCAGTTACGGTTCATGAGGTCGTTCATGTGGCATGTCAAACTTTTACGATTCTATCGTTTAGGATGTGATACATTTGAGTTTTATGTTATTGTATGACATCTTTGAAAGCTGGCTTTGTGATCTGTTTAAATTGATATGTAATGATATTATCACTGGCAAGTCTTAGCAGTGACACTGATAGCCGCACAGTCCGCACAATGAACATGGCCACACTTACCGTGTGGAGACTGGGCACTAGTCAGTATTATGTACATGTAAAACTATTTTGAATAGTGTAACAACAACTAAACATTACCAAATTAAAAACTTAAAAATTTGCAACAAATGTTTTTTAGCCAAATCAAACAAGAAGAGTACTCACCACAGGGCACCCAATCTGCTATTATAGGTGAAAGTTAACCCCCCCTTTTATCTGTAATTAGGACCATTTGTAACGGGCACCCCCTCCAGTATTAATCGGTAGGTGCTAAGGAAGCTCTGTGCCAAATTTGACACTTTTGTCACGTCTGTAACGATCCGGCCTATATTTTGCACTAAGAGACCTGACTAGAACCCTTGACCTCTGCAATACCGGTGCAGCGCTCTACCAATTGAGCTAACAAGCATAACTGGGAGCAGGTCGCTGAATTGGTTCGTATTAACCCAGCGAAAGGATGATGATGAAGTTACGAATATATGAAAATCATATATGAGAACAGCGGGAAAAACACAGAAAAAACAGCAATATCCTCGTGACATACTAGGGTAGTTCAAATTAGACAACCACAACCACAACCGGCACACGGGAGGTTTGAACGTCGAAATTGTTTCGTCTCGTTTCTACCCACTAAGAACTGTACTTCGTCTAAACAGATTTACGGGTCTATATAGTTAGGAGGCAGGAATCTCCAAATAGTGTAACCGATAAGCTTCTCGAATAGGGTTTCAGCTGAAAATCCAACTAGGTCTGGGAAAATTTGGTGGCATTGGTGAAACGTACCTTTTCCACTCATGTGGGCTTTATATTTTTACATTCTTCAGTTCGGTAGCACCATAAGCTTCTATGCCTGCGCATTCTGCTTTAGGCTCATCTTTAATGGCGTCCGAAGGAAGGATAGTTCCAAAATCTAACCATAGTCATTCAAAGTTTGGCATTTACGCCGTCAATAACTCCAGTTTTTGGACTCTTCCTAAAAGAAGGTCTGAGCGTATCAAAAGCGGTGCTCTTTTGCTCGCAGGCGCACCAAGCGTTTTCAAAGAAAAGTCTATTAAGATCAGTCTCGTTCCCAGAGTCCACGTTGCTTTGTCCAGCGGAACGGGCCCGATCCCTGTCGCTGACTAAAAGGATCGCGGTCTCTGGGAACCAGATTGCATGAAGACATTCTTGCTCAAAGAAGCCTCAGACGTTTGATCGCGATGGAGGCTTATCCGATGATCGAGTTAACATTGTTATGTTTGAGTCATACGAGCAAACCATAGTTCTGACAACTCGGCCTTCGCACTGCCCAGTGGTGCTGTCTGCAACAGTAGCCTTGCAGCTCTTCAGAACCCCTAATTTAATCGGACCCCTATGGGTCGAAACTCTTTTGTTTTCGGGCTTGGTTTCATTGTTTAGTTTGTTTGTTTATTGTTTTCCCAACCAATCCCATGAGGTCTTCCGAGAGCTGCAAGGTCGCTCCAGTAGAAAGCTTTACCGTCAGTAGGAGTTCTTTAAATAAAAGAAAAAAAAAGGGAGAGAGACGGCGGGTTTAGTTTTGTCAAATCGTCCATCTAAAATGTTCAGTGTTGACTCATAGGGATTAGTCCACTTTCAAAACTGAAGAGTTTCTTTATTAATACAACGCTTATGTTTCATTTAACTTGGCTTCTATGTGCAATTAATTACAAGTAACTACATACACTATTCACAATTGACATTCTTTTAAGTTGTTCTTGTTTTTTAAAAACCTAGACATTATTACAATAATCTTTATGTTGTTTTGGTTGCAGACCTCTTTAAAAGGAAAAGCCAAGTCCTCAAAACCAGCTAAAAATTATACTACACAGAAATTCAAACTGTTTATTTAGACACCACGATGAGCATTGTGATAATACGTATACTGTGCCTACTATATTAAACGTAAAAATTTTGGCTGACTGACTGTCTGATCAGAAATCGAGATGTAAAACCATTAGCAAAACTATAGAAAACCCGTTACATTAATATACGGAAAGGACTGATCCCGTTACCCGAATCTGCTCTACTAGCTTGCTCCCCAGCTATAGATAAGTTTAGATATTTAAAACATCTCATATATTAACAACCGTTAGTATTATATTAAAATTCGTTTATACAAATAAAATGAAATAAATTTGTGTTTTTCAATAAAACAAAAATATTCATCTGTTTTTAATAAAGCAACTTATTCATATATTATTATATGTTACCTTTTTGTTCTACCCTTCCGGAGCACCATCACGCTGTGATACTGAAATTAAACCATTTTCAACACTTCATATGGAAACGCGAATCAGTTTTTGTGAAAAAATATATTACTTTTCAAAGTTTGGGATTATTTCATCTAGCTGTGTTTAGTTTTCAAGTAAAAGTTAGGAAAACTTCGAAATATTACCAGGATTTGTCCTTGTCAATCACTTCAAAACGTTTGTTTTGTTTTCAAATTAAGTTATACTCCTTCCTGTAAGTCTTGCCAGACTGTAAATGCCTTGAAGACATGACGCAGTTTTGTTCAACGAATTATAGGTTTCAATTTGGCCACGCGAGCAGAAACAAAATTACACGATATTCCTCTTCCCGCACATTTCTTATCTCCCACGCAGCAGTTTTTGTTTCGTCACGCGTCACACAACGTTCCTTTCCAATTCTTAGGGTCAAGGAGCGTTGCGTGACGAGACAAAAACGGCTGCGTGGGAGCACATTTCAAGCGCTACACTCCTCTTTCGTTTTGTGCGCCCGCGTTCCTTCGCGCATAATGAGGAGGATGCAAATTGCAATCACCCATCAAACGGCTGGAAATGGAGCCAAGCGCTTTTCTGGCGTTTGGGACTGTTAATTACACGTGTTTTCTCGCGTTAAGAATTTCACTTTGTTTGTAACGAGATAAATTTGTTTCTGGCTTTAAAATGCTACGCAACCATCTTTATTTACGTTTACGTCTAAAGAAACGACTACTGAACGGTGCAGAGATGTAACCTTGGGACAGGGAAGTTGAATGAGTAGAATTCATAACTGTACTTGCAGAGTCCAGGCTACTAACTTCTTCCTCTGAAATAATATCGTACTCTTCCAAACCACGTCCATGAGTTGGCAACACTTTCTCTGATGTACTTAACTGAGACATGGTTCTACGCACTAAAGCATCAGTAAAGTACTTGCATTCTAGAAAGTTCCGCATCTGTAGCTGGTTTACAATATTTTCCCGCCACTTTTTACCCGCTGCACGTTTCACGAACTTGGTGCTCATACGGGATTTTTCACATCCGGGTGAGTATGAATCTTCACTTTCCGTCTGTTTTTCTTCCGCAAGAGTTCTTTGTCGATTGAGGTAAGTGCTCGCTAAATGCGCGATGCTGTCCGTTCTAACACGTCTCTCAGCATCGACCTCATCCGCTAAAAAGCTGGATGTCCCATGACTTCTTATCGCTAAAGCCAGCTCCGATCTATCAATTGACTCAACCTCCATGCTCAGTGAGGCAGTAGTACTCACTGAAGGTTCATTCGGATGACTTAGTTCACCATACTTATTTAAATAATCCGCAAGTTCCCTGTTTATTCTTACCTTGGCTCGGCATCTTTGTCCCTCGGCCTGGAGCTGTGAGAATCTTTTTGTCTCCGCATCGTTCCGCTGTTTAAGCTGCCATACAATATTTTCTCTCCACCAACATACTCCAGAACCGTTGCTCGATATCCGCTGCAATGGTAAAGGTCGGCGCTTTGGTGACAAACTATCACTTTCAGTGTCCTCTAACAAAGTGCATGATAAACATTTATTTAGCGCGTTTTGAATATCAACTCTAACAGGCGGACCCGCGCTGATGTTAAAATCACCAGTTTTTGCTCCTTCAAGAGGGGTGCTGTGTGCTGGTTCTCCAGAAATGAACTCCTCTTTAGACGAAGGAATAATAATGTATTCATCAAAATTTGTTTGTTCTCTAGGGCGATAGAGTATTGGTTCCTGTTTAGGCGTTGAACACGCGCTCAAGTCTACGCTGATAATGTCATAATCCGCGGCAAGGTCTAGCTTGGGTTTCCTTGCCCGCGCTTCGCTTACGCATCTTTTACACCGACAGCGTTCTACTTCGTCATCTCCATAATACCCAGAGTTCACAAATTCCTCACTGTACAGCCCGCTTTCCGAGCTACTACTGTACGCGTGACTGTTCTTGCGTGACTTGCGTGACGAGAAGCGTGACTTCCGCCGTCTTGAGGACTTCTTTGAACTTGATGGACTATTCGGGTCTCCCCAACTTGTATCGATATTTTTAAGAACGTGGAGGTAAGAGTTGACCACATACATTACACCTGGCTGAAGAGAAAAGAGGGAATTTAGATTTCCTTCTCTCATTTATGGATTCTAAATTAATAAGTAAACTGAGTTTCTAGTCCAGTCGTTTTGTGGTTGGACACAGAACTAATTGCAACAGAAGCTTCTCTTCGCCAATCATTTAGGATTAGACTATAGATAAACTACTATTAAAAGTTCCAAACGATTCGAGCATGGGAACATTGGAAAATTTAACCCCATTTCTTATGGGCATTTTTGGTCCCCCAGGACCTGGTCCATGATTTCTTTCTGCAGCTTCAACAATACAAATCAAGAGAGAAAGCTTGCTAGCAGGCTAGCTACATGACAACACAAACAATGTTCCAAGAAACCTTCAATAACTTAGGCTCAATTCACCTTACTTTGTATTATGTATATCTACAACACTATAGTGCTGCTTAATATTTTGTAAAAATGTTAAACGCATAAAAGCCCTCTCCAGTGATGGAGAGTGATGGAGTTGCTACAAATTGAACCAAAATTCCTTAGGCATGAGGTTACCCTCATTTAAGTAAAAAAGGCTAACAGGTTAATCTGACACTATGCAAGGATGCGATTTCACACAATATCAAGTTAGTTGCATCCAATTAGATAATCCAGGAAAAAATTTATCAAAAATAAAAAAAGATATTGCTAGAACCAGTAGTAACAAACCAAAATTGTAATTTCAGGTTATTTTGTTTGGTGTGAAAACAGAATTATTTGGTGTAAGCAAAATATACTCAGTCGGTAGAAACTGCATAATTTGCCCCACAACAGACCTTTTTGTGGCATAACGAGGCCTGGATATTCTGCATACAGTGTATTATTCATAAATTGTTTTTTGGCAACTCATCAGAACTAGGCTTGCATTCATGATAAGAGGAATGCATTAGGCACTGAATGGTTTGTGTTACAAACAATGTTGAATTTTGAATATTTACTTGTATGTTTTCTGATTTGTTAATCTGCTGAAATGAATTTTGAATACCAATAGTATTTTCCTTGCTGATGGTTAGCAATAATTATTCTAAATAGATAACTTTTTTTTACTAAACACCTACAGCTGTAAATGGAGAATAATAAGAATTTTGATTACTATTTTACATTTTTTACACCACTACTGCAGAAATGACAGAAACCCTTCAAGAAAAGACAGGATAATGGAAACCTTTTTGCTGCTTACAGTAAATCCAAATATTAACAAGATGTGATTAGGCATATAGAGCGTTTTCACACGACGTCACGGCGGTCATATTGGTGTACCAAAACAATGAAATGGCGGCCATGTTAGTGTCCCAAACCAGTCCTGTGTGAGTTGAACTCTTTTCTTATGCAAATGCTTTCTTTTGTTACAAAATGAAAACGCTCTATAATATGGCTTCTTAGACAAAACTCAAAACAAAATACCACCTGACTAGAAAGTTTATCAGTCTGCATTTTATGTCAACAAAAATCAAAAAATCTATGTAAATCAAATGACCTCTACCATTTACTACATGTACCTGCTAAAACTCTCCCACCCTTTGATGCAGCATAATTTTGCACTCCAGAATTCATAAATTTGATCTAGAAACTTACGCTATCATGTTCACTACTGTTATTAGAGGTCATATGCGGGGTAAAATCTTCAACCAGTTATGACGGTAATTTACATAAGCCTCAGACCATGATAAATGTCTCAAGAGCTGGCATGTATTAGTGTATAAGTTTATAAATGATTCTTTCATCCCCTAAAATACTCTGTAAACTAACATCTCTGCTCTACTAGTAGTAATATTTAAAAAAAATAACAACATCTATATTAAAGTAATCAAAATTTTTAGGTTTTTAGGTAGCTACTTTGAATATAGTAAGATCGATATTTAAGTGCAACGATAGAAGGCTTCATGAATCATGAAACAACTCGATTAACAATATTTTGGTCGAAATTGTTCGAAACAATAATGAAATGCAGATGAACTTCTATGACACGTGTTTTTATCATACCGTACCTTTTGTGGGGGTATATTCCATCTCAGTGGAAGGTCCCAATTATATATAATACATAAGACTTGTAATTGGAATGTCGGGAATTCTTTTATCAATTAAAAAAACGTGCATTTTATGACTGACTGGGCTTTTGTCCGGAAGAGGAAAAGCGATAAAACTCGCTTTACTTGAACAGGACCTGAACTGACTTATTAACATACCGGCCAGCGCGAGCGATGTTAAAAAAATGTAACAAATAACACATTAATTTTGTGTGGAGTAAATTAACTTATTTACCTTTGCTTTTGATTTTAAGAACGAAAGCATTTTTCTTTTGATCCGGCCGGCTATTTCGTTCATAACAGTCATAAAATGATCCGGTAACAAACAACGAGTAATTGAGACGAAACGAAACCCAGATTGAAACCAATAGTAAAGATTACATAGCATCTGCCTTTACTCGCTCTAACATGCTTTCCAGTATTATAATTCCTGCATTTTGTTTTGATAAAAAATAAAGGCAATTATGGCTTAACTTTTAGGGGATAACTTTCCAAAACATGCGAAACAACGTGACGTACAGTTACAGTGTATTGACCGACCTTGTTTATATTCCTCGTTTGTTGCTAAAATTTGGCTGTAGAGCGCCGAAATAGGCAACATCGCGCTCATAACATCTTTATATGTCTTGCAGATGATTTATCTTTGTCTTTCTTTATAATCTCCTCAAGTATTCATTCAACAATGACATCAAAATCCCCGTTGTGATCCGACTTGTTGGTGGATCAACACACACTGATCAACAAGCGGGCGGCATACACCAAACTCGAAGAAAGTCAAAGATCATTTCAATACTTACTATTCATTCAGCACAGGGCGATCTTTAGGTCGGATCTTTGTTCTTTGTGAATCCCTGACAGGTAAAAACTAAAGTTTTCATATCATAAAGGGCGAAAAGTCCGGTTTTTCCAGACTACCCAATCGAAGCAACTCAGTCGCCGCTTTGCGTTGGCGCGCGTCAACGATACGACTGCATGCACAAGAATACTTGATCACGTGTCGATTTCATCACGCAATTATTGTCACGGTGTAGGAACACGGAAGTTTGTCCAAAAGAACATCTTTCCGAAGGCCTTGTTCAACCGTTTCATGTTCGTTTCCTTATGGAATTATTTCGATTTTATCGTTCATCCATGAGTTAGAGCAGGTGCGATCTGGGTAATGCGAGATCTGGGAACAAGATGAATGGCAAAGTCCATGGCAACTTAAAATTGCACGTGAACTAGCTTATGGAGGACCCTCCCTTGCCCGGGAACTTAACCCATGCGGCTGATGCAGGGTAGGTGTGTTCTGGGAAACGAAAAAAGCTGGAGTTATTTTAGAACATAAACCTTTCGTTAATTTAAGCAGGAGAACTACATTCGATTGATCTTAGTTGAAAAACTGAAAATCGACTCTCAGCAATCCAGACGGAAGTGGGGTGAAAAGGTTTTTGGCCGGCGACCATGAAAACATATTGCGCCGCGATGGTGTCGTCACGAACTTCAGCACTTCACAATAAATACAAATAAAGGTTTTGTTTGTGGCGTGGAGCCGGTGGACTGATCTGGACTGCTCAAGCAAAGACGCTTTTGAGCAACGCAAGTCTGCCATAACGCTTCCAAATTTGTATTCTTAATTGCGTTTAGTCTTATAAAGACGATTTGGCGGAAAATTTGGGCAAAACCACTGCTCAAGAATGAAAACAGACCACTTCCGGTGGACATGCGTTGCCGCAAAAAGCACCCTAATTGTTGGGTTGACTGTGTACAAGTCCCTGATTCGGATATTCCTTTTTTGGTCGCCAGGGGCCCGTTTCCCGAAAGTCTCGATAATTAACGGGCCCGGTAAGCTGACCCCGTTTACATTAAAGATCGAGGTTTCAAGGGTTTTGCATCTAACATGATAAAACTATCAGTTAATGAAACAAAATGGAGTAGTTTGCGAGCCAGGACCAGCGCATTTATTCTGAATATTTGATTTCGGGCCCGAAGAGTTACCGGGACTTTCGAGAAACGGGCCCCTGGTTCTTGTTTGGCATCTTTCGGTAGTGCATGCGCATGTTGGTGACGTATCGGAGACAAAAAGCGGCACCATGTGACTCGAAACGCATAGCCCGCCCTAGGGACTTATATTGCGCCAAAATGCGCCAGGTATTTCCTTAGAAGTTAGGTGCGAACTGCGTCTCCCTTTATTTGCGCGATCTTGGGCAGCTCGTTTTGCTAGATTGCTCGCGCGCTATTGGTCCTTCAGCGAAACTCAAAAACGTGGACCTAGAGAAGCCGGGGACCCTCGGGTACACACTAGAGGACACCGTTTTAGGGACCTCGTTTGCGCTGAATGCGATATGCCGCGTTGTACCCATTTTATGTAGTCTGTGTTGCTGGCGTTTTGTTTAGGAGTGTGGCGCAAACCAGCGGCAAAGCCGCGAGACTGAATGGGGAAAACTGGTGCTTACTTTGGACACGGACCTCATTCACTCCAGAGCTCATCTTTCTAAGTCTGCGCGTGAGTTGAAAACAAAATCCCCTGCTTGTTCGGCGTTTGTGTGCGCTCCAAAAAAAAAAACGCCAGCTACGCAGGCTACACAAGCTTTTTGATGCGGGCTCCTGCTTTCAGCCTAACAGTCTTCAAACCGCTAGTAAAGCTAAAGGTACAGCAAAACGGGCAACAAGAACGTACAACTTGTTTGCTGACGCGAGAGAAATTGATGTAGTGAGCTGGCTCTAGCCATATTCATTTTTGTGTACTAAAACAATAAATTATTCCATTTGTTAGAAAAATAGTTTAAATTTCAAATAATGCTTCAGTGTTTCATTTATATTGCTTTCACTTAACAATCCACTCTAATTTTTCAAAATAATCTTTAAAAATCTGAAAACTTTCTCTAAAATACAATCTGAAGTCAAAAATAAAACTCAACATTTTTGCTGACCAGCGTTTAAGTATAAAAAAATAGTTATTTAACTCTCCTTTTGACACATCGATTATTTGTAGAAATCCAACAGAGTTCTACAAGTCTCTAGCTTCAAGTTGCCTTATCTTCTGTTTGTGCTTGTGTTCCTTTTCTTTTCAATTCTTCCATTTCTTTAACCAAATAGTCTATTGGTTTCTCTGGTCTTTTGAACACTAGCTTTGCAATCAAGTCCTGTAAAAAAAAAATCATTTAATGCAGGTTAATGTATAATTGCAAAGTTCCGAAAACCTTTTAGATAATGAATTTATTCAAGCATCAATGTAAGGCTTCCCTAGAGTTGGTATTAACAGCTAACTAAAGCTCATGAATCAATTGGCCTTATCCATGTTGAGGTCTGACAAGCAATTTTACCATCAAGCCTCGTTTTGAAATTGTAAAGTTGAGAAGTTTCCCAAGACAGTAGAGTTGAAAAGAATACCCACAAAGAATTTTGTTCACAATCAAGGCTTGGTGGTGAACTTTGCTAGTCTGATGTAAACATGCATAAGAATCATTAACAAGAATAGGTAGTCAGCAAGCAAAGTAAGTACACACCCGCAATGACAGATAATGACATTCTAAAGACCCCGATATATCCTGGGAGCAGGCTCCTTATAATATTAGTGAGACAAAAGGGCAAATAACAGGGTGAGTGTGAAGAAAGAGACAAACTGTGTGGTGGATTGGAGAGGGAAATTCCACCCCGGCCTTTTTCTCCTATTAAACCAGTGCCTTTCACCTTTATTTGCTTTTTTACCCCACCAAGGTGTCTGGTCCCAGGCTAAGACTGACATGGAGCAAGTTTGAACATAATATGGCTTATGAAGCAACCTTTCTGCAAGACATTCAGTTTTGCTTTCTTCTTTTGAAAATAAGTTAAAACAATAATAATAATCTTAAAAAATAATAATAATGATAATAATAATAATAATAATGATAATAATAATAATTAATAATAATCTTAAGGTGAAGTATACAGTGTATAAGCCCACTCTCATCAATAAGAGTTTCTGCAGGTGTGATGTAATTTCTTTCCCAAGTGAAGTTGTGAGTTTTTGGATAAGAAAAGAACAAGAAATATTTCTGTCAAATTTAATAAGATTTTCTAGGCTGTGTTAATGAGAAAATGATGCACTACCTCATGTTGTTTGGACAGCCAGCATATCAAAAATTGAACTTGTCTGGCTCTTGCACCAAAAAACCCAAGCAGTGTGGGAGGGTTTAAGTTAGATGACCCTGTCCATTTCAAAAATGCTATTTGCCCAGAAGACTAGGACATTGTGGAAACATTTTAACTAGTATTTTAAAGAAGCTTTTCCAAAAATAAAAGCCTATGCTCTTAACATATTTTTTAAAGATATTTTTAGCATGTTATCATATATGATTGTGATGAATTAGTTATTTTTAGTATGGATTATTTTTGCAAGATTGTAATGCACATATGAATATTTTTATAGAATATGCACAATATAAATGATAAATATTGTGCCCAATTGGGCACAATGTAGACTGTTCACAGTCCCCTATTTTTTCGTGAGATCATTTAGATATGCCGCATCTTACCGTCATGGCTATCTTGATTTTCAAATGTACCAAGGAGGCGGGCATCGGGGATTATAGCTAGGGGTGGGGGGGGGGGGGAAAAAATGAAGGGCCGGAAAAACACCACTCCAAGCGGCGGTTCCCAAAACGTGAGTGCCCACCTAGCCGGGGGTTGTTGGGGCATTTATCATAAAATAGTGATTTTCGTTGATAAAGTGTTGTGTACTTATATATTATAATAAAATAAAATAAAAAAAATATTTTAACATATCGCTATATTGGCGCTGTTGTTTATTTCTTACATTTCTTTTTTTTTGACTATTCTTATTGAATTCTTCCTCCTGGTGAGGGGATGGTTATGTAGAGGGGGGAGGGGGGGGGGGGGGGGGGGTGGGGGGGGGGGGGGGGGGGGGGGGGGGGGGGGGAGAGAAAAATAGAGGGACTGTAATAACATCACTGCAGCTCGCGTTTACAGAACGCGTTGTACCAGCAATGCAGGTGTTTGATTGGTCATTAGACAATAGATGTTAATTTGCGTTGACAATGGGTTTAGTCTAAGTTGCTGACACTGACAAGTCATTGACAAGTCGACGTTTCCATAAAACGTACGCTTTCATACCATAAGGCACATCTTGCGCAAACACATGAAGGATTTTTGGTATTTTGATTAGAGAAATGTTTTCTTGTGTATGTTTGCCGATTTTATTTTGAGGAATGGCCTTGGGTATTCCAAGTCTACCTCACAGCCGTTTTTAGTGTTGTCACGCAATGCTCCTTCCCTCCTCCTCCCCTCCACTGTGGGGAGGAGTATTGCGTGACGACACTAAAAACGGCTGCGAAGGAGACTAGGGAGTACCCTTATTTTACACGACTTTTTGATGCCCCCGATGAAGTTTCAGTTTTGTTTCCGTCACTTACAGGTAGCTTAATTGAATAATGCGTAGTTATTAGTGCAATGTATGTAAAAATAATTACGCTTTGTTTAATCGTCTAAACCTCACTTCCTACCCTAAAATAAACGTTGCAGCATGCGTAAAATTTCTAGCTTCGCACTACACAGGGACTACAGTAAGCTTACCTCCAGTAAATGCAAAATTGCTGTTTCCTCGAGGTACTTGGTAGCTTTTACACGAGATTCTTCTTTTTCCATATTTTCTCTGACGAGAGATTGCTTCACCTCATCCAAGAAGTCTTTTCCAATTTTCTGACACTCTGTAAAGCTATAAGTTTCCTGTTCATCTGTTTCCAGCTCCGCCATCTTGTTTGTTTTTACCCTCGTTTTCATGTGGCCTCGTTTTGCTGATGCGCCTGGCGAGTTTCACCTGGGTTGAACAAGACACTTTTCTTGGACCTTGCCACAGGTCAAACGGTCTCAACAATGTTGAAATTTTTGCTTCTTGTTAACAAGCAAGGCCATACTCGTGTTTCGCAGTATTATGAGTATTTGGAACTCAAAGAAAGAACAACTATGGAAGCGGAGATAACGCGCAAATGTTTAACAAGAAACGATGGTCAAGTAAGTTGTATGGAGATATGGGGTAGTTTACAGAAGGTCATTAGTATAAATGACTTTTTTGTGTGGGTAAGATTTCCTTTATACAGCCCTATACATATATTATGCATGCAATACATATGCTATACATATATTATGCAGCAATCTCACGCTATTTCACAGAAATAGTTAATATGAATGGAATTGAAACATGTTTTTTTGTCCAATGCATGGGGCTGTACAGAAACTCTAAGGATACAGTACAGAATAAGATGACTTGTTATTGAGGACGAGAGCTGCTGGGTTAGATTATACTGCTGACTGGATGAGCACCGGTCTACCAGGCAAGAAGCTGCAGGTTCAAACCTTTGGCAGACCAACACTTTGGGTCTACTGGAAATATGTCTCTTGTAAACCCTTCAATACTCAGTGTAAATAGAGCCACTCAAGTTTAGCCATGATGGGTGGGGTTACGAACTTTAGTGGGTGACGCAGGGTTCTCAATTGAACCTGTAACCGGTAACACCTGTCATGGGTGTCAAAGTGCTTCAACTACCTGATCAATTCACCTGTCAAATGCAAATAAAAGGACGACTTTTTGAGTAAATGACTGTGTAAAGTATTGACTGTTAGTTGCTTTTGTAATGTACCTTTTTTTGGTTTAAGCTGTCAAAATGAACAGCTTTTCAGCAGACCACAGAATGACGGTACAATCACGATGCTTTGCAGCATCACTGCATTGTTGAAATATGGCTGCCATATTAAATTTGTGCATCTGAGCCCAGGCCTCTTGCAGGTGTTGTCTTTCCACATGCAAAAACATGGCCATTGCAACGCATTTCTGAGCATCTTAAATCAAAATTTTCCCAGGGGAGCATGCCATGTGTTACACCCAAAAGTAGCGCAGCAACGACTGTACAAAATACTATTGAGAACTCTGGGTAACCCACCGTTGAATGACAGTTTTACAATACAGGCATTGTGGAGAGGTTAAAACAGAATGACTCTTCATTGTATCATCTGGGACAAAAAAAAACACAGGTAGTGGTGATAAACATAGTGAAATTTTGCAGTTTTGTATAAACATGATGTTGCTACCAAATTTTTTCCTCTTCTTCTTTGCTGCAATCTGCCCTGGATGATCTTAGAAAACTTCTTCGTCAAAATGGTTACCCCCAAGGGATAATCAACTTCCACGTCAATCATGTGCTAGAAAGAAACAGCAATAAGTTAGACCGCCCTGTACCTGTGGTTCCTAAAAAGGGTGTTATTATCCTGTTAACTTAATGTATTTACCTGTTCTATTCCTGTGTTACCATGGTAATTTAAAGGTAATTTTTCAAAACACTTGCCATATTAAATCTTTCATTCCATCCACTGCCTAAATCTCCCTCAAAGATCCAAAGTCATTTACAAAGCTAGTTAGTGGGATTGCAACAATTTTTACATTTGAAAAACTAAGCAACGACTCTATGATAGGGAGACTGAACACTTCAAGGCCCTCACTAAAAATGATTACTTGTTAGCTATTGCTGACCATGTCAAAGCCACCAGACATGATACATGTATCAAGTAGGGTCATTTGGATATTTTAGTGTCAGGGAAATTCAATTATCAATGCCAAGATAAAAGAAACATTGTATATACAAGGTCTTAGGCCAGCTTTAAATGTCAACATCAGCAGTGAAAAGCTGATACTTTATTAGCTGTAGCCTTATATAATTTTACTGTTAAGAATTTTGAATATTGTTTATCTATATTTAGTCTTGTCATACTTTTAACAGTCACTAAAGATCACTAATTTGAAAATATATGTTGACTAGCAATTATACAAACGTCAAGTTCATATAAAAATGCAAACGTTCACTATATGTTTATCACCACTGTTTTTGTTTTATTTTTGAGTAAGCTACGATGGTCCAAGAACAAAAGTCTTTCTAGGACAAAAAAGTTGATTTGTGGAGGGGTAGTAGATAGTAATGGTTGGGTTGTAACCTGTTACCATGAAAATAGTTAGTACACTATGTATGGGTTTAGCTTTGAAAATGATTTAAACTTGACTTATTGTTTGTGTAATTTCTTCTTTCAGTGTCCTTTCTTTGAATTCGAGAATTTTAAAGTCATATACAAAAGATATGCTTCACTGTTCTTTATTGTTGGAGTTGATTCAGAAGAGGCAAGTGTCTTAAGTCAAATTATTATGTTATTGCAGTGCAAGGTGATTTTTGGCGGCCTGCAACAAGTTGGGTGTCCTGTACTTTTTCCTTGATGTGTTGGGTCAGGGGGAGTTACTTTCCTGTGAAAATAATGGAGGTCCCTTTGGAAAATTTTGAAAACACCCCTAAAAGGGCTGACTCTTATGCATTTTGAACCAGAATATCATTTTGTGGATTCAGCACAAATATATTTTCACTCTTTAGGAAGTGCAAGTTCCCTCCCAAAACAGCAAATTACCAGCCACTGACAACATTTGATAGCAATAATGACAATTCAGTCATTTGAGTAACATTTATGCTTCTCATCATTATTTTTTTACTTGATGCCTTAAATTCTCTAAAAAGTACCGTGATTCTCTAATGGGAGTGATTTTAGGTTAAGGTTTGAACACTGAAAGTGGTACCAATATTAACAAATTTTGCCTTAAATTATGACAAGTAAACCTGTCATTTTTACAAGGGAGTCCCCTGAGTTGTTGGGGCTTTGTGAAAAGGAAATTCTATCCCATGGGAATTTGTTCAGTTTTTGGGATGCCCTGGCAGTGTTCCAGATAAGAGATGAGTGTCGGGTCGATGACCCGACAAAGAAGGCTTCCTGACCCGACAGATGAAGTATAAGTATTAAGTTAAATATAACGAAAAAAATTAGCAGGTGGTCTTGGTGACCCCTCAGACCCCCCGCTTGAAAGAATTAACTGGAACGCTGCCTGGGTGTCATGGCTTAAAGAGCCTTGTCCCCCAGGAATCAGTCCAATCATTTTTTCCCAATTAGTTATGGCTGAAAAAAAAATTACTCTAACCCCACGAATTTGTTCAGTTTTTGTGGTGCCCTGGGTGTCATGGCTCACAGAACCTCATCCCCTAGGAATCAGTACTGTCATTTTTTTTCCAGTCATTTTTTTAATAATGGGTGAAGTAATTATCCCTTTGGTTGATACATTATTTGGATTAATTAACCAGCTACATTAATTTCACTTGTGAATCCTTTTTTTTGAGTGGATTCTTTTTCAATCTATGTTTTTTGTATACTGTTACTTCTTCTCTTAGAATGTGAAGGGGTTTAGGTTTCCCAGCCCCGTCCCTTAATCTACTACGGTAAAAAATATCCCATGGTTAATGCGGTAAAATTGTAGAGGTACAGATATTATATTATTACTTTTACTTCATCTTTTTCTTACAGAATGAATTGGCAATACTAGAATTCATTCACAATTTGGTAGAAACTTTGGACCGTTACTTTTCTAGTGTGGTGAGCGTGATTGCTTTTTATCTTTTGTTATTCAGCCCTTTCACTATTTTACCATAATGGCTGTCATTAAGAGCCTGGGGCCAGGGATTTCCCCCGGCAACTATGAGTGTGGCCACCGGCTAGTTTTATTGGAAAATAGAAGAAAATTTGAACCAAAAGAAATCCCTACTTGTTGTCTTTACTCGGCAACTCGAAATCTTAGCAACAACCCTGACCATGTATTAAGGATACGAGAACATGTTAAAAAAGAAGCCTGAAAAACTGAGTAATGTGTTAACTGGGTGAAATATAACAAACAAAGTGCACTTTGTGTCCTCACTTTAATTTACAGATGTTGTAAACCAACATTTTGGCCTGATATTCCTTAAAAGTGATGTGAATAACAGAAAAATTGCACCGGTAATGTTCTTTCTTGAATTGAATGTCACAAGCGAGAAATCAGCCTTAAATTTAAGATAGGTGCTTTATGCTTAACGTTTTTTCACTGGTAACAGCATTTAAAGGCCCAAACTGTCTGGATGGATGAACCTCCCATTTCTTGTTGTAAAGCTTCCAACTTGGCTCTACTGCTGGGAGAGGTTACAATACCCCGCCTCCTCCCCCCCATAATACTTTTTAAAGGTAGAGTTACAGTACTAGTTAAAATAATTGTTCAAAGGCGAAGCATTAAATCAGTTACTAATTAGATTTTTTCCGTATTTTTTTTTCAGTGTGAGCTGGATGTATCCTTTACTCAAACTTGATCTTCTTTTTCATTTGAAAAACCACTAGCCCTCCTTTAATGCAACCTCGTTCCCAGTGTTCGCCCATACTTGGTCTCTTCAGAGCGAGTTTTGAGCAGCAGAGAATCCTGGTAATGAGGTTTGCCTTCAATGATGGGTTCCTGGAGAAATAAGGCGCTGGCTGTCACTCAATAATCCCATTTCGACTTAACGCGGGTCATGACTTTTATGTGCTCCAGTTTTTTCAAGAAATCCCTGAAGAAGTATAACTACTGATGCAGCTTCCTTGACTTGCCGGTTCTGAAGATAATGTTTAATCTCGACAAAGTTCATATGATATTGGATGAAATGATCATGAATGGACAAATCGTTGAAACCAATAAAAATCGAATCCTGGCGCCTGTTGCAATTTTGGACAAAGCGGCCAAATGAGAGCATCCTTTGGCAAATGTAAGGTAAATGGTGTTTTTAATGGCAGAAACGTTTATGTTATGAGAAGGCAGACCTGAGCTAATGACATTGAACCAAAATTGCTTTGAAACACTCAGAAGGAACTAGTAAGCGCGCAATCAGATTTTGAACCAATCAGATACAACCGGTAGTTAGCGCGGGAAAATATGTAGCTAGTCCTAGGCATGTTTGGTTTATTTACCGCTCGGTTTTTTTGATATCGTGTTAAAGAGGGGCTCTTGGGCCCTGGGACCGATGCGAAGGAGTAAATTGTGATGAACAGTATATGTTAAGTCCAGATAGGAGGTATAAATTTCAGTTAAAATCTGCAACACGTTTCGTATTGTTAAGGCGAGAAGTCTTTAGACGTAGTTATATTTGTTCTTTCTTCTACCGCGTAATTGAGTCGTAAATCCTTCTTACGAGTTAGGAGCGGATTTCCGTATTATAAACAACTTTCATTCGACGGTAGAATAGACGAAAAGGATTGGAAGTTTCAGGCCAATTTAAGCGCGAGCGTAAACGTGCACACGCGCGCGCAAAAATAGAAAATGCTTTCCAACAGTCGTCTTTGTCTCGTCACAAGACGCACGAACTTTTCAGAACGAAGCGATCGTCCTGTGATTCAGTCGACATTTTTCGTTGTTGTGTAAACATAAGTTATTGGCGAGAGATAAGCGATGGACAGGCTTGTTTGGGTCTGTGTCGCGTACACAGCAGCTACATTTACTGTTGACTTGATTGATTCATGTTGGTGTGCTGGAGAAATTTTATATGACATTTACAAACAACGTCGTAAACAAGCAGAAAAGGTAAGCAGAAAAAAGAAAAAGAAAAGCACCTGATTTTTTCCAGCATCCGTTGTTCCGCTTATCCAACCGAGGTTCCAGGTCTGTCGAATGGAATAGTCAGTCTTACACTGACTTTTTAGTGAGCTGCGTCTGATTAATCTCGCACGTTTTTTAGGACCTGGCCGTGGCTAATCTAGTATGCTTTGGAGAGACTAGGGCCTGGCCGGCCCACACCAATTCGGACATTTTGAAACTGCATATTTTTTTCCCGGATTTGTGTTGGCGGGTTCTTAAACCATACTGGAGAGAAGTTTCAAACTGAGATGCGTTTTCGGTGAGCGGATTCATTCGGGTTTCGTGTGACCGATAGACCGATTCTTCTTAGAAATTTTATTCGGTTTCAAACTGTCCGGATTTGTTTGGACGTGGCCTAAGCATCCCGTATGGCAACAAAACTGCAAGATGATCACCTGATCATTTTAGTACCTTCATTGCGTTTGACGTTTGACCTTTGTGAGACTTAGTAGAACTTTTTTGATGTATTGTTGATCGGATACTTAAAAAAGCGTATCTTGGTCATCTCTAATGTTTGTCGCTCGATGTATTAGACGTCATGCTTAACCCCACTGTTGCTGTTGTTGATGTGTGTTTTTGTGTGAGTTTTTTTTAATTGACCACAGTGCTTTTAAGCACTGATGGGTTTTTGATCCTGTTTATTGTTATTATTGCCGCGGGGAAACAAAGGGCCAGTTATTTAAACGGGATTTAGCCAGTGTTTAACAAAACTGCGTTCGATGCCATTTTCAGTTTGCCCTACGCTTTGTCCAAAGATTTGCTTAACCTGGGCCTAAATTAGACTTCTTTGAAATAACCGATCCAAAGGTTTTGGCCAGATTGAAAACGCTTCTATTCAGTCCTTGCACTTATTTGTCTTGTCTGGCGTGCTGTTTCCGTTCTTTTTTGTCTTTTTTCTTACCTGAAAAAAATTGCTGGGCTGGTCTTACCATAAGCGCTACTTATCCTTAAAATAAGATTCAAACTTTTACCACTACAGTAAGAGAAATGGATTTTAAGCTGATAATTTCGCTTAGTCGCCTAATCACAGTATAACTTTTATTCTTTTTCAGCGAAAACTGCATCAGGAGGTATCCTTTTACACAGAATATTAATATTATTTGTCACAAGCTGTTACAATACTTTGAAAAATCGCAGCTCTTCTATCTGTCTCACAAAACTTTGTTGCTTAACCGCGGCATGATTAGCTCAGTCGATAGAGCGCTTGACTGCAGAGTGGGAGGTCGACGTCGTGGGTTCAATTCCCAGGGCCGGATCAATACTCAGGGTCTTAAAATGACTGAGAAATGAAGGTACTGGCTTTTCCCTGCAAATGGCTGGACCTTCGCGTGGCTCGGATGATCACGTAAAATGGCGGTCCAATTCGTACTTTCGTGCTAAATACAGTGACACTCAAATAAAGTGTCTCTTTTTTCGCTTAGGCGGGGTCATTTCGCACGGGTCAAAGAATAAGTTTAATAGGTTAAGTTTTCATTGATCAGATTAGTGTGATAGAAGTAGGTTAGCTGGCAGAGGGAAGGACAAATAAAGGTATTTGATTAAGCGTACGGATTGATAAGTATTCTTGCTAAGTGACCAGCAACATTCCATGTCACTTCATTGGGCATTAAGTTGAGCTGTGCGACAGTTCCGATGTTTTGCCTGTACCGGTGCATCAGATTGAAAGGATTTGATTTCCAAGGCGAAGAATCTAACCCTCTCTCTCCTCCCCACTTTCCAACACCTGTTTAGTTTCCTTGACGTTTATTTCTAAAGATAAACGCATGCGTTGAAGACCTAAACGAGCTTTGGCACGAAATGGTTCGGCGTGGTGACGTCGATTACAGCAGGGCCGCTGTACCAGATGAAGTCGCTGACATTTATCATAGAGCCATGTTACTTTAATCACAAGAGAAACTGTGTTGCGGCAAAGATTGAGACTTGATATAGATAGCTGTTTTCTTACTATTGATAATTTGTAAACTGGACGAAGACACAGTTTCCTGGGTCAAAGCTGGTCAAGAAATCTACTTCTATACCTAGACTGAACTGAGTAAGGAAAATATCTGCCAGTCAACAGCAGCCAAGAATTTGAAGTACTAATGTATCTTAACCTGATAAAGACAGATGAAGTGCCTGACCAGAGCTGCCAAGAATCCAGACTCGGAAGGACGAGTATTACATTTAAAACTTAAATATCCTGTGCATCGACATCAATATAAATGGAGGATTAACTTCAGATTTGTCATACAGTCAGATGTTATAAACGGGAAAGTACAAAATTATTTTTCAGTGAAGGAAACATAAAAGTGCAAATTACGAGCTTGCTGTATATAAAGCATGTTGTAAGTTTCTCCAATAAGATGCATGTGTTTGAGCACAAAGACTTTTTATGGCAAGGAAAGATAAATGTGGTTTCTAGAAAAAGAGCGACACTTAGAAGTGTCTATAGTTTGAAACAATAAAATCTGATGAAATAATTGTATGATTCCAGTTTAAAGTATGTTATAAATGTTTGCATTGAAAAGTCGTATGCGTTAGAAAGGGGAGAGTTTTACTAAAATCCCAGTCTTACACGGTTAAACTCGCCTTAAGGACACGCTCGTCCTTCTTATATGATTCAGAAGAACGTAGCAGAAAAGGACGACAGTAATGTCCAATCAGACTAGGTAGGCTCGATTACCAGCCATTTTGTGCTTCGCCCCCCCCCCCCTCCCCGGGGTGGGTACTCCCTTTTATAAGCCATATAGGTATGTGCCGCCCCAAAGGGTATGGTTTTGGTGCCGTTTCGGTCTGAAAACGGGTATAGTTTTTGAGGGAAAGTATGAACGTATTAGTAGTTTCAATTCAAAAAAGAATAAGAAAGAAAGAGTAATATGCGAATTCCAACCTCGTCCCCAGGGTGCTTTTCCCTGCCAGGGAAAAGCGCCCTGGACACGAGGTTGATGCGAATTCAAAACAGCCACGGATTTTAAAAACTCTTTTTGTTGGCGTTTTAATATAAGTAACAATGATACAATTTCTTGGAGGTCATGTCTGGAAACGGGTATGGATTTTGGAGGCTAGGTCTAAAACTTTTTTTGGTCTGAAATAAGGTCAGGATTTAGAGAATCGGGCTGCACACCCCCATCAAGAATTCCCAAGAGTACCCCCCCCCCCCCCCCCCCCCCCCCCCCCCCCCCGCCCACGCGTAGTTAGGAAAAAAAAGGGGGAACTCCTACCCCCCCCACACGCGCGCGCCCCGTTTGGATAGAGAAAAAAAAGGACCGGAAAAGAGGAAGAGAGACAAGGAGACAAAAAGAAGAAACCACAAGAGAGATATGTGATGCGTTAAGATTTCTTGGAGGTCAGGTCGTGAAACGGGTATTGTTTTTGAGGGCTAAGTCTAAAACTTTTTTTGGGCTGAAAAAAGGGCAGGATTTGGGGAAGCCGGCTCCACCCCCCCCTCAAAAATTCCCAAAAGTTCCCCCCCCCCCCCCCCGGGCCTGCCCTTCTTCGTGCAAAGCAGGTTAGTAGAAGAATGCAGTGCGAATTCCTTCCAACGGCTGACAGTCGCGCATATTTTGCAGAGAGAACGAACGCGAGCTGAAAAGGATGATAGTGCAACGGCAAAGACACGGATCGAACATCAGTTGATTTTTGCGCTATACGAAGAGGACGCAGACCCTGTAATGTGGGTGTGCGTCTAATAGTGTGTTGCTGTAGTAGGCTCACATCAGCTTCCAAGCAAGCTTCTACATACACTGTTGATAACTTGCTTTGAAAATCAAAATCATGATAAATGATGAGGAAGCAGTGTGCTTTGGCCGCCTGCCCCCTCCCCTCTTCCATCTCTATGAAGCAGTTTTCATTTCAAAAATACTGATTAGGTGATCATTCAGTTACTACTGCTTTTCATTCAATTATCCCCTCTTTGTCACAAAATTATGCTTGTTTGTCATACTTTTTGACGGGAGGGGGCTTCATACACAGAGCAGGCATATATGGCTTGTTGATTTTAGTTGGTCCAAGAGGCTTCTGGTTAGTTAACATAATGCACAATAATATTCCGGTAGTATGTCAAGTTCTTTTCAGTAGAGCCAGCTGGGTAAAAAAATCAAATGTCTATGTAGATATTTTGTTTCGGTTGTTTGTTCACGTTGTGGAACTATACCTACATATTGTAGTATTAAAGTTTAGTATGCCGGCAAGATTTCGTAGACCATGCGCCAGCGATCGTCAGCGGTTAAAAAGAGGAGCAAGAAACGTTACTCCGCCACGCTTCTAAGATGTTCCAAGCAAATGGCAACGTAATAACCTGCTTTGACTGATGTAAGTGAAACTTTACTGCTTTGTACCGCTAATAATTTTCTTTCAATGTTTAAAATATTTAATTCTTAACATTTTGATTTGAATTACGAGCGACTAAGTTCCAGGCGTAAACCACTCGAACCAAATACAAACCTATACGTCTACTTCATCGAGTCCTGTCGCGTGTGTGGGTTAGATTGTGTTCAGTGTAATCAGTGAGCGAAACAGAATCGAACTCTGGCAAAAAAAATGGATGTAATCAAACGCGTATCGCCGCGAAAGGGTTGTTGTTAACTCAGGCTATCGAATGTGATCTAATGTTCGACTGAGTTCGATTGTTTTCACAGTTACGACGATCTGAGGTTCGACGGTCGGAAGTTGCGGTGTGAAAGGCAGATAGAAATTTATAAGGAATACTTTTGTTAAAAGCGTGGCACGTGCTCGTTTTTTTCAGAGTGACTACCCGATACGCAAAAAATACTGTTTTTTATTGTATAGTTTATCTCTGGGTTTAAATACTCGTACAATTCAAGAATTATCGGCTCTGCAGAGTTACAATAACTAAAATAAATTAAAATGAATAAGCTTATTAAATTTAAATTAAATTTGGCACTTCAAACCAGACGTGCACCGAAATCGCAGAGAACTATGTACACTGTTTATCATTTTTTTACCTTCTACAAAATCTACAAAATATTACGCTTTTGAATAACTCCGTGCAACCGCATTTTTGTCGTCACACAACGCTCCTCCGGAAGGATCGATGCGTGACAACAATAAAAGCAGCTGTCTAGTAGACTGTTGCTGCCTGTAATTGATGCTAATATCGCAGTGTATTTCATCTCGAACAATACCTCAAAAGGCATATCTTTTACCATCTAAGACGGTACTGTGTTCTACTGTTCTATGCGCTAGTTTTTCTAGGCTTAACTTTATCATACTTATTGTTTTAACAATAAGTATGATTAAAATATTCTACACGATGATAAAAAATTATCTTTAAAAAAATAGGATAACAGGCGGTAAAGTTACATTAATTTTCTATAATCTTTTTACTGTATGTGTGATATTTAATGTATTCAAAGTTCCTGCTTTTGTTTGCTATGAAATATGTAATATGTAAACAATCTTGCCAAGGTTCAAGTTTGTAGGGTGTTTCACATGCGAGATCTTAACCAACCCAAATCTAAAAGTGCGTGGTGTGGAGGTGGTAAATATGCTGTCCCTCTATTGACTGGAAAATAACAGAAACAGAAAGTTTTGCTATAATACTTTTCTTCCAACAGAAGTTTGGTATAAGTAAAGCTTGTGAAGTCTACCATTCCCATTGTTTCTTGCTGAAAAAGGGAAATTCCTCTGCTTTTGGAGGGTCGCTGATTTCAGGATGTGATTGAACTGTGAAATTTTACTTCTTCTATTGGGGGGTAGTTGCTTTCAAAGCTTTACATCACGGTACCTTAAAAGCTTTAATTGCCCCTTTCACTCTGTTTAAGTGAGAGGTGACACCAGCAAGCAAGACACTGACAGCCTTAAACAAAACCCCGTGTAAACATAACAGACTACACTCAAAAGAAGTAGAACTAAAGCGTACTTAATTATTTGAGGTCAGATTGTCTCTCTACCTACAATATTCCAATGGTGCCATTTGTGAGTTCCAAAAACTCTCACTTCCAAAACGAGGCTTAGTGCGAAACCTTTGTTTTGAAAATGAATTTTATTTGCATGAGAGCAAGAAATCGTTTTCATATGAATGGCTTCGCACTTAGCCTCGCTTTGAATCAGAGGCTTCAGTCAAATCAGACATGTCCTGTTGTATTTGGTACTGATCTAATGTAATGGTAAATCTCAATCTTATTTTTGGGGGTCTATTCTGTTCAATTATGGAACTCAATCGAATCCAGTTGTTTGATTACCAAACTCAAGGCACTCTCTTTATATTCAGTTGAACTCAATTGTGGGATAACCGAGTCGAGAATGGCTACGTCGGCCGGTTCCGACGGTTTCTATGGTTATCAATATTACTAAGATGTCTTATCTTTGTTTTGTCTTTGATCGCAACGAATTGAATGAATAGTGAATTCTTTCCTTAAAAGTGGAAGTGCACTCAGCTCAGTGGCACAACTTGGTGCTGTAGCTGTGGCAGTCAATCCACTCAAATGATATACATAACGGTACTAAAAACCCCATGGCACTACTTGAACAAATCTGGCTGTGTGGGCTACGTGTGGTTAGAGCAGGCAGGACTCGGATTCAGGACTGCGTGCCGGATTGCGAGTCCCACGCTCTGGCCACCCGACCACGTCGCCTACTCAAATTTTCAACACTTTTTACGTTTTATGTTTGTTTTCTTTTATCTTTTTTACAGAGAATCGCTCAGAAAGTACATGGGAACGTGTAGCAGACGTTTTTCCCGTGTGCGCATGTCCTTGTGTGGAAGGCGTGGATTCTTTGTTGCCATTATTTATATCCTAACATTCGCTGTTGTACTTCCAGTCTTGTGTCACAAACTTGGTTTCTCGACCTATTTCGCCAAGCCTAAGGAGCCTTACAAGCTGCTAGAAATTCAAAACGACGAAAGAACTAAACATGCCAGGGAAAATCTGGAAACTTTAAAACAAAGGACCAAGCCCCTTAGTCCCAAGCAATCGAAACAAATCGAGTTCTTGATAGTAGTCCTGACTGCTTATCGCGCGGCAAACACGCATTATTTATTGCAAGTGACCGCTCGTTTGCTTCCTCAAGTTAGAGACGATGGAGGGAGAAGTATTATTACTATTCTGAATTCTGATCCTAAATCGGGGCTGAACGAAGATGCTCATTATCTATCAAGCTTTATAACTTTGACAAATAGTTCAGCCCCTCTTACTTCTAACTTGAGGTCTCGCGAAAAAGAAGACTATGTCGTGGGTCTAGAAACTGTCTTACAGTACAATTCTACCTACGTTTTAATGATTGAGGACGACGCCCTGCCATCAGAAAATCTGCTGAAGGATCTTCGCTTTGTTTTAAGACATAAGATGCCGTGGAAATTTTTAAAAACGCGCCGAGATTGGGCGTTTTTGAAACTCTATTACCCTGAGAAGTGGCAAGGCTTCGGATGGCCTGAGTTACCAGAACTTATATTGGTTGGTTTTCTTGGGGGATGTTTCGGCGCGTGGATAGAAATAAAATTGGAAAACCCTTTAAGATTTAAAAAACAATATATTATTTGTGCTTTTATAGTGTGGTCAACGTACTTTGTCCTGGTTGTTTATACTGTTGGTAGAGCTCATTTGATAGAATTAAGAAAGCTCTCCCCAGTCCTGTATTCCGTTGTCAAGGCTCATGGATGTTGCACACCTGGGGTTCTTTATCAGAGATCTCGTGCGCTGGAGCTCGCTAAATTTTTAAAGTCAGTGAACTGTAATGATGCATATCCCATGGATGTTGCTATTGATGACTTCGCAAAGAATAGCAGTCTGCAACGGTACGTGGTTATTCCAAACATGGTCAGCCACATTGGTGTTCATTCAAGTCTCAGTAACAGCCTCAAACATTTTGCAGAATTTTTCTTAATGTTTAAACCGTAGCACTGGAAATAAAACAATTATCAAAAAGCCAAGTGACAGTGATATCCTGGAAAAGTTGTTGGAAAAGTCGCTAACTTGGTGATCATAGTTTTGAATTTAACTTTTTAGCGAGAGGGGCCTTATAAGCCCACCCCCTTGTTTGAATAGTGTTAATTATGGTGTAAATTAGACAACGTATGTGAGTGGCCTTCGTGATTAATTGAACTTTCAACAGACCAATGTGTTGTCTCGTTTTATCATTGGATGAGACCTTTAAAGATAGCGTATTTCTGTAAAACTGAGTCCTAAATGACGGAAAACATAAGGAAACAACGAACAAACAACACTACTGTACAAACGAGCGAAAGTCTAGGAATTTTTCCAGGTCGGGCTCATTGTATAGCATCGCTATAAGAGAGAGCAGCTTCTTGTGTCGTTTGCGCAAAGATTTTGATGCTATACAGTACGGGCCTCGCGGACCTACTAAGACCCATTGCACGTCAGTACTGCAGTCTGCGCACGCAACGAAAGTGATCCTCACTATTATTAACTACTTAATTGATTAATCCATTACACATATCTTCTCAATTCTCTACGGCATTGTCTTAATTACACTCTGCTTAGTATTTTCCGCCCAGTCGTGTTTCACTGTTTGGTATATTAAGGCACTGTCAAGGCATTGTGACAATGAAGAAATTTCTCTTGGCGTGTGCTACTGTCGGTTTGGCTTTTGTGGGATTTTATTATATTTATCAAACTTGGAAGAGGTGTTATGGCGACGACAACGCAGACGATGACTCCAACGACGTGGCGGTCAGTTACTTTTTGCAAAGCTTTTCACAATACTCATTGATGTGCAAATGATTACTTCTGATTTGGCGTGAAAATCATTCATGCTCAGTTTTCATTTCTCCTTACCTTGATACAACTGAGCATGAAAATAAAGATTGTTGGTTAGATGACTGCGTTACACAGACTACAAAGCTTTGCATGATGGACTGGAAGTAAAGGGAACGTGGTAACGAGGCCACGGGTGGCCCAGCACCTGCGAACCCGCAACTTCAAGATGGCGTCCAACTTCAACTGATACAAATTCTGTCAACAACTAAATATTCACCTTGCGCCTTCCGCGGACAAGATCATTTGTTTTGAAATGTAAATTTTATTTTGTCTGCTTAACTTCGTAGAGACAATGGCGTCGCGATAACACAGTGAGTTTATTGAATAATTTTGTCTTATTTATTGTTTCCTTTGTAAATTGTGCTAGATCTACTATTATCTAAGAAATTTTTATAAGGTGTTTATATTTTTTTAAAAGTGTTTATATGCTTTTGAAAAAATGACATATTGACTGAAATCTGTCGTTAGATATTAATTTGCTCCTTAATTCTTGACTGGTTTGCCTTTCTTTTAGTTCTGCACATAAATCCTGATTCTCTTGATCTCAAGATAATGTATCGGTCAAATCGAAGCTTCAACATGCCCCCCCCGGGCAAACCCCCGGGCATTTGACTTTTTTGAAAATTATTGTTCAAATTCCCCCCTACCCGGGCCAAAATGCCGTTCAAATGCCCCACACTGGGGTCCATTCAGGTGATCAAATGCCCCCACCCCGGGGACATTTCACAGGCACAAAAATGACAGAAGGACGGCGGAAATGCCTCCAGTTGTCGAACCAAATCTTTATAAATATAACAAAAACTGAGAAACACTGTTAGCGTATTTACTACGGACAAAAGTCTCGTGCAAAGCGGCGGAAATCGCTGCTACAAGGCCACTGAAGGCTCAGCTTTTCTTCGCCATGCAACATACAAAGGGTTCTCTAAAAAAGATCCCACCTATTGAGATTACTACATCATCATCATCATGACATGCATCATCGCTCACCTTATTAATTAACTTACTTGCAGTAGGTCAAAGTAGTTGACTGAGCTTTTTATTTTATTTTATGTTGTTGTATTGAATCGCCGGTAGAGGTATAGAAATACGGTCATACATTCAAAGCCTGCATCCAAAATTAAAAATTTTAAAATTTAAATACTTCAAATGCGCCACAAAGCTTGTTTAAGCCCTTTCCTCGCAACCAATTGGCCACAATGGCACAATTAATCTTTTCCACGAAAATCCGATAACACCGGGGCCCCCATAGCTCGCCACGCCAAAGATTTTACATGAAATCGAGGGTGCAGTTCAAATTCCCCACCCCTAAAGCATGGGGATCAAATTCCCCACCCCCTGGAAAACTCTGATAATCAAATTTCCTCCTCCCCGGGACAGCAAAGGTGTCAAATGCCCGGGGTATGCCCGGGGGGGGGGGGGCATGTTGAAGCTTCGATTTGACCGATACATAAAAGAGAAGTTTTTAGCCCTGCGACTTACCAGAGTCGTTTGCCAATTAACTCCGAGATTTAAAATTAATATAATTATTTAGTCTGCGTCTGCATCCCTCCCCTAAACGTTTGGTATGACAGCCAACAATTATCGTTCGCTCGAAGCGACCAGTGACCAAAGTGACGCCAGGCGTTTGTGTTGCGGGTGAGGCAGCGGGTGTTTAACTTCTACGTGTAGTCTAAAGTAGGAGGCGACGCTTCGTCTTTAAATTTTACTCAGAGACAGTCCTCGACATTGTTGACAAAGATGCAGTTACGGAATGATGTGAAAACTGTTTTAAACTGATTTTCAAGCCATCATAGTCAAGAAAATGGAAGTTCAGAAGTAATAGAAGCTCTAGCGCCGGTGCACAATTTATGATTACTAAAGACACAATTGAGTCCATCTGCACTACCCTACCAAGAGAGAATGATCTCATTCTCTCTTGACCCTACTGAGTATTTCGTGAAATTGTCGTCCTAAATTCAAAAAGCGCGTTTTTTCCCTAGTGGCGGTCTTAGCTAATGGCCGTTTTCAATTCTGGGAGTCTGGACTCCATTCGTGATTACTTCCTTCCTAGGCCTTGCGCAGCCATCTCGATGAGAGAAATTTCTCCTGGTCTCTAGGAAATAGCTAGAGAAGTTCCAGACTTAGGTGCTACAACAATAAAAAATTCTCTCATTTTTCAGTGAGATCATGTTCGGAAATGCCGTTCCTTTTGAAACAAAAGACTTTATTACTGCTTTTACCAAGTTTATATGGTATCCTCATACTGGGAGATGAAGAGCTTCAGAATCAATTTGAGAAGAACTGGTGCCGAGAGCGAAAAATGCGAACCGATTGGCGGACTTACACAGACTGGTGCCCAAGCTATGCGCGGCATTGGGCCTACGAGATCTGGGCCGATAGCTTCAAGACTCATCCAAACTTAAGCTACATCTCAGGAGCAGAAATCAAACCAGCTGGACATTTCAGTAAGGTTTATATACAGTCGGTGACAGTCCTAAATCATACAAAGACGTTTGGAGGTGATGCGTGGCGCGTAAGAGTAAGAGGCCCAGCAGATCTCATTGCCTCAGTGTTTGATTTGGAGAATGGTACTTATCAGGCCGTGTTTCTTCCCATGGAACCTGGGACCTATTACTTACATATCTCGTTGGACTATACATTATGTCACGGGTTAAAAAACCCACCTCCTGATTGGTTTCGAAAAGGTAAGATCACGTGATATTTATCAACTTTGTGGGATAAAGCCACAGTCAACATGCAAATTCTTAATGATAACGTGCGCATGCCATGAGGCAGTTTTTGAAGGTAATTCAGCAGAAAATGCATAACATAGCCATAAAAATATGGGCATATGAATCAAGAAAGTCAAAGAGAAAGAAGATAGATTATTAGTCTTTTGAAATATAATAAACTTGCACTTGTCCGCTTCGGTACAATTTCCTTGAATCATCAGTTATAATTTATTTTTATATTCATCTATTTGAGGCACTGTTAAACTCCTCAAACGGGCATACTTTGTTTCCCTATAACTAGTGAAAAAAAAGGAGGGCAAAAGGAAGCCTGGAAGAACTAAGAAAGCTCATAAGAAACGCTGGGGAGGAGAAAGGCGTGAAGCCTTTTCGTCAGTCTTTCCATCGTCCCCTGTCTACTAATTGCTATTTAACTGATATAAGCAAGGTGCTCAGTAGAAATATCAGACCCGGATTTACATTAAGCACTTTTAGGGCACAAAGCATGTCATTGTAAAACAATAAGTATGTTTTTCGTCTTAATTTTCTATCTTCAGGCTGCCGTCATGGCTCTTTTCAGAGGCCAGGAACACTCGAACTTTCTGATGACTACATTGACAGGCCTTTATTTTTCGGCGCACGTTTTTCGGTGGAGGTTCCACCAGCCAGACCACATGCACAGCTGGACATTCCGTGTAAGATGCTTAATTAAGTTACAATTAAACACACATTTGAGGATAAGAAAGCAGGGGAATAAACCTTGTTTCTTTTCATATTCTTTTTCAACTTGAAAAGGACATTACAGTCAAATCTCTAAGACGAACACTTTATGGACCGGCAGTAAGTATCCGTAAAGTAGCTAGACTACAAGCACTCTCTCTTTTTTGTTGGTCCGTCGAGCAAAACGCCCGAGACACGCAAATGACCACGCGCGGGAGAGGCGTGCGCGCGTCCACTAACCTTACTAAATCTGAAGAAAAAGAGAGACTGCTCGTAGTCCATAAAGTAGCTAGGGCAGGGACCAACTCGAGGTGTCCGTTTACCGAGGAGTCCGTTATTAGTCTTATAGAGGTGTCCATTAAGAGAGAGTATAATAGTATAGATTCCCTAATAATTATTCGCTAGATAGTGTTTATCCGGTGGTCAACTGAGAAACAGTATTTTTATAAATCTGCTTTTAGTGTGAGTTTTTAATCGACTTTACTTAGTTTTCTTTCCACCCACATGCATACAGTTTCCGATTCTCTGTCCAATCCAAATACTCAGTGGTGCAAGGAACGCTGCATTCTGATCTGGGATGGCTTCGGTCGGTGGATAAATGGGAACTGGCTTTCATACAAGAGAGGTACGAACCGGTAACAAAGCTGTGCTTCTGTTTCTAGCATTAATTATTGACGCCAAAATCAGTCAAATGATGGGAATTTCATTTGTCCTGCTCTCTTTTGAACTTGAAAAAGAGTTTCTGTAAAGCCGCTATTTGTTTCATAAACTAACTCTAGTATGCGTTTCACCAGAGAAAACTCTTAGATGGAAAAAGCATCGTTCGATTGTGTCTAATCGGTAACCCATGTTCTGTTGTAGTTATAACTCATAGAAAATGACATTTTTTGCAATCTTTTTTTTTTTCAGTTGAGAGCGTGCTGCGTGTTAGCTAATTATACCAACTCGAAACCCCCGCGCGAGTCTGTTCGCTAAACCAATCAAATTCTTATATTCGTCTTTCTTTATTGTTTTAGTCGAGTCATTTTAAGGAAGAACGAAAATCTCTCAGACAACATAAATTATGTACAGCGAGAGGCGCCAGTCAGCTTGTTATCAGATATATCGCAATAGCTCATGTCACTGTTCACTTTTTGACCTTTTTTCTTAGATGACTTCAGTCCCCTCCCGTCAGGTCATCGGCAGGGGACTGGTGTATTGTGGATATACGGTGACTCGCACAATCGACGATTCGCAGAATCTTTACAACGTCGAGCGCTGTGCAGAAGCGTGTTTAGAGCGTGTTATCACACGGATGTTTGGGTGTACATGTTAGGAACGGTCAATTCACAGGAAATGGACCTCAGGTAATAACGTTCGTAAGAACCAAGACGTCCAAACCGCTGCTTAAAAAACTTCACCTCAAAAACAAGCAAACAGCAAGAAATAAAAAGAAGTCAATTCTGAACAGAGGACCCGCGTATGGGGTTAAGGGACAAATCATAACTGCAAAGTTTTAAACTTATATTTTTACCCCTCCTCCCCGCCAGATACAACTCCGCTGAAGAGGGTTCGCTTGGTTAGACCGCGAAAAAGGTTTACTGCAAAGGATATACTGATCGTTATCGTCCATAATGATCACATTCACTGATGAAACAACATTTTTTCAATAGTTAACCCCTTTCGATTTTTCCGAAGACAACGCCACCGGAAAGTTCTGTTCAGTAGCTTTAAATGATTAGACAAACCGCAGAATACTCAGAACTATCGCACAGTACACGACAGATTGTTCCTTTATCTTTATAATGGACCGTGATATTTTTGTAAGAGTCGAAACTGTTTGCTTGCTTGCTTGCAGCTTTGGTGGTAGAGACATTAATGTGACACAAATACTGGAGGAACTAAAGCAAGTGGTGACGCAGCCGTCGATGGATCAAGATAGCGCTCTGGTACTAAACGCAGGGGTACATCTCTTAAAGAGCACAAGCTTTAGAAATTACCAGAAGATTATCAAGGGATTTATTAAACTTTTAAAGGCGACGTACCGCGGGACGGTGGTTTGGAAGACGATACCTTCTCTTGGGGAGCAAACAGAGCTCTATAGCGGTTGCTGTAGGCGCTTCCATACCGAACAGGCGAGTTAACTGTAGAAAGCAAAGTAGGGATAAATTTATAAAAGGGAGAAAGCAAAAATGGAAACTTTAAGCAAGGCGTTTAAAAAAGGAAGAATTAATTTTGTTTCGTCAGTTCTCGTAAGGTACTCAGTAGAGACCCTAAGATCGAGGTAGCCTTTTCCCCTAAAACCGAAAACGCCAACAAGTCACGTGACTAGTGCCTGGCCGTCAGGTCTGCAGTTTTAGGTTTACGTTTGTACGGCTAGACCACTCTCTAGAGGTAACTGAATTACTGCAACGTTTTTTATGCACCCTAAAACATCACCATCCCACGTTTGAGAGAGTATACTACTTTTAGAACTCTTTTGCTCATACATTTCCAAATTCTTTGTCATCTTTGAAGACGATTTCTCAGCTTAAATAGAAGTCAACGAATGGATGAAAACAAAAGTGGCAGTTGCGAGTAACCACCAGCGAATTTAAACTCCTAAGACAGATAACGTGAATCAGCTAACCGCAAACCGCGGTTTGGCGTTTGCGGTAAGATGGCCAGACCGATGGACCTCGATCTTAAGGTCTCTAATAGAACTTCTGCGCCCGTCCAAATGAAGACAAGTGGATTAGCACTAAATCGTCGTACTCATATAAATCAACTTTGTACACAACACTGCAGAATTATGAAGGAATTCTTTTTGTGCACGCGCAAGATAAGACCTATGAATTCGGACGACTTTGACGTAAGTGAAGACCAGAAAACTGATTATTAAAGAAAGAAACCAATAAGCGAGTGATTTTTCAAATAATTGTCATATTAAATTTTGCCTTTCAGAGAATCAAACTCTTCAACGCCTACGCAATGGAAAAAATGTGTGACGCTGGTATCCCTGTTTTGGATATATATCAAATCAGCGCATCATACCCACAGGGAACCTTCGATGGCATTCACTATCCTCACTTTGTTTTCCACCCAGCCGAGGACGCACTGGAAAGATACTTTACCACGTGATCACGAACAGTTTTGCCTGATACGCATGCCCATCAAGGCTACTTCCGAACTCAGTACATCATGGCTACATTTTGCCCCGTGGAGTCAAGTGATTCATCAACTCAGGTCAAACTCCTGACTCGCGCTCTGGACTTGAGCTTGACTAAATCCATGGCAAAAGACACAAATTCGTGCGTGCCTGTGGATTGGTAACCAAAGAGTAAAATTTTACAAACTTGTGATCCTATATGAAAGTCCGCGCCGCCCTTATCATCGACTGCGCGTGAAAATTTATCATGAACTTAACTGCCTTTAACGTTTTGAGTGACAGTCCATATTTGCCAACTACAGTAGTATCTTCTTTTCAATGAACTAAAGCTTATGCTTTGGCCGGTTATTGCTAACTGTCTCCAGTCTCCAACCCTGCGTGCTTTAATTTGGCCTATAAATATGGTCAGATGTAGATCTGCTACGGTCTTTTCGCCTCTTTATGTGTTGACTGGCACGATAACAACAACAGGGAATGTGAGTCGGGAATCTCTGGTAACACCACTCATTATACAAGTGATTAGAAAGCATTTGCAGAAATAAGAAGAGCGCAGGTTCCCCGAAATATCCATAGGGGCCAAAGATAGGGCAGCCATGGACATACAAAACACAAACACAGAATAAATTGGGATGCCAGTAGAAACCATGAAAGGCTAGAGAAAACAATTTGGTATTCTAAAACGCAAATTTCTGCAATTTATACATCGACATAAAGTTGTTAATAACCTTCTTTATCTCAAGGTAAACTAGAGGAATAAAGTCAACAATGCTATAATACTTGATGAATGTAATAGCTATGAGTCGAAATTGGAATTAAGGAGCTTTTATGACACCTGTCTTGACGAGGGAGTAGCTAGGATTTTTCCTGATGTGCGCACAGGTTTTCGAATCGACCCTTCCCTGTGTCTCAAACCGTCAGTCTGTGCGGTTCAGTTGATAAAATTTTGTTTTCTTGTAGTTTCTCTTGGTCTTGAGGTAGAAGATTTGCTTACGGCTTTCGGGTGTGACAAAATCGGGAAATAAACTGAATTTTACGGTGAAAAATAATCTGGCTACGTTAAAACGGAGACACATGATATAAGCAATTCCATCATTTTGGACAAACTCTCTGCTGTTCACTTCTTTGATAGTTTTAAAAAATATATTCGTTTTGCTTTTATCTTATATCGAAATTTTCCAGGCATTCTGGTATGTTTTGGCGCACAGGTAGCTACGGCCCTGTCAGTCCTGTTTGACCCCGCTAAAAGAAACCATTCTGAAAGAAACAGTCAAGTAAGAGCTATCCTAAACTTCAATTGCGATAAATTTGTTTTTTAATTGTGAGTTCTCCTTTTTATTGTCTTCCCCCGTTTTTCCTCACTCACAGCAAAGAACAGTGCCTGTCAGGCTCCTATGCCCTCTCCGACCAAAATTTGTAATTACACCCTGAAACGAGATGAACCCGCTTGATATTATATGGGAACCCTTCCTCTGGCTTGGATGTATATTACCGGTATCCTCGTTTCATTCTCAGAACGCGAAAAAACAATGGAATAATGGCAGCTATTTGACTGTTCAGCTTCACTGTTGAATGGAACTATTTATTTTTGACTATTTTACAAAATAAAATTTGAAAACTTTTCTTGACTTATGTTGCTATTGGGCCCTCTTGATATGGAAGACTTAAGATGCCCACTAAACTTCTCACGTATTACTAAACGTTTCTTTCTCAGAATTGCGATTTGATGGGCGTGTTTTTGCATTGTATTGTATTATATATTTTTTTATTTTTGATACCTGTATTCATTTTAACAAAATGACTGGTTTTCCTTGACAAGGGTTGCATGTGTGGCAATTGTCACGAACAACATCTATGAAAAATAAATGACCAACATTATGAAAACAAGAAATTTTGGCAACTCTTTTGCTTTCAATTCACGCCTAGATTAAGTGGACCCTCGAAAAGTTCCATTCTTAACCACGTAACTACAAGAAGATACTGTGAGTATGTTGCTGTTTGTATGCCGTAACTATGACTTTTATTTCCCACGCTTCTACCGGTATTTCTACAAACTTAACCCTTGAAATGTACCTTTCCTGGCAATTTATGTTTGTAAACTTCATGGTGAGGTATACTTGATCAGCAATCGGTGTCCAGCGTTTTTTGAATTTTTGTTTTGCCTTCTTTTCGGTATATACAGTCGCGTGGATAAAAGTTTATTAAACGCCCTAATACAATGACTTATCAAGTCAGTTCTAGACAAACGCTCAATTTTTCCTGATCATAAGTATTCGAGCTTCCCATTGAAGACATATTAAGCAACTGCTCAATTTTAGATTTTGAAAGCTCAAAGATGCTGAGCTGGTTGATTTACTAATTCTTTGGCGGCTATCATCAGTATGTTATTCAGTAGTTCCAATATTACATTGCACGAAGTTGATTCATATGTTCAATTTATTTTAAACCGGCAGGGCATTTCAGATTAAACAGTGAAGTGATTCACTGAATATCGGCATAGTTTTAGTCGATCATAACTGAGACGATCCTGAGTTTTTTATATTTTGCATGTTTTTTCTTTCGCAGAATAGTAAGAAAATTATCCACAAATGAAACATGAAGTTGGCATCAAAGGAAGAATATCTTAAATCAACTGCACCAAGAATATTTGCAATCTCTCAGAACCACTGATATGTGTACTTTCCTTGCTGTGCCAGGCCCAGACCACAATGACTTTACTCCATGTTATATTTCTTGGAAATTTGATTTTGCTCTCTGACACTAAACAGTCGATTGAAACTGAGAGGATGAACTACAGGAAAAATGCTGTTGATTTCAAACTAAACTGGTGCAAAATGCGCATGCACAGATACGACTGGAAGAATACTATTGGACAATGTTTGAAGCATGTGCCGTGGGAGGACGTACAACCGCTGGAAGAGAGCCTTCGAACGCAGGCTCGTAAAAGTTACGTTAAGCACATGGATATTAGACCGGCGGGATTTTTCAGCAAGATTTACATTCAGTCAGTGTCAGCAGAAAACAAAAACAAAACAATCGGAGGCGATTCCTGGCGTGTCGATATTCGAGGACCATCTAACATGGCTGCGACTGTATACGATAAGAACAACGGACTATACGAGGCCGTGTTTTTACCAGATGAGCCTGGGTCCTATTGGGCTGAGATTGTCCTTGATTATTCTTTATGCGAGGGTTTTAAAGATCCTCCTTTGGACTGGTTTAATCGAGGTAAAACGTTATTAATCGGCTTGTGCCGACACACAAACAATCAGATTTCTCTTAAAGGGCACCTCTGGAAGACACATCTCCAAGGACATGGTCTCTGTCGCTCCCCAGTCATTTTCTTTGGCTCATAAGGCGAATATCTCTCAAGATGGAAACTTAGTGCCGCAAACCGTGATGGTCCCCCTTGGACAGAGTTGTCTTTTTCGCTCGTTTAGTTAAAAGTTAGAATTGACCTTTTCTAGCCTCAATAGAAGTCAAATTGGCCAGTCGCGATGCATGATTTTAGCTGCAAATTAAATTGACTTCAGGATAGCCATAAGTTCCTAAGATTTTTCGGTGTTTGAAAGCATTAATTTCCTGATTCGTGGCCTAATGACCTTTGGATAAAATCTAGTTAAAGGCTAGAAAACCATCTTATAATTATTGAAATAGGCAGGGAGAACGCGTTTACGGTGACTTAATTAACTTGATGAATACCTCGGAGATTTTGATTTTCAAATCACTTGACATTTTGCAAACCAGAAATACCGCATTTTTATTCGTCGCCAGCACTTTGTATGCACCGACATCTCCTACCTAGTGAATCTTTTACGTATAAAATCTCTCAGAGATTATGATCCAGAACTTATTTCATCGAACTATTTCAGTCACCTACGAAAAGGAATCATTTATAATTAAAAGCTAATTTTTCTTTTGTTTACAAAATACTGGCTCTGTCCCAGTAGCTAAAGGAAATCTTTTTCTCAGAATATTAGAGACAGATGACATTCTTGTTACCTAGCAACCTAAATGCAAAACTCTTGAGCACCTCTTCCCTGATCTAAAGCTCTCTCTTTTCCTAGGCTGTCGGCACGGTTCATTTCAGCCTCAGGGGAGCCTGGGTAACAGAACTCATGATTTCTTGCAGGAGCTCATGGCTGGCGGAAAAATTACGTTTACTGTTCCCTCGTCACCAGCGTCCTTCACTAAAGGTGATCCTCGACAGTGATATAGTTAGGCTAATGAGATGTAAAAGGGACTAAGAATTTCGTTCGGATTGACCTGATATCGTAGTCAAATGAAGTCGAGTTTCTGTACTGGATTTTGGAATGCAGACTCTCAAAAGTTCCTGTGATGAAGCAGATAAGACTCGAGACTCTAAGGCCCGTTTCAAACGTCGTGCTACTGCCGTGCCGAACTCAATTGATTGAATTAAATTCGACTTTAGCACGGCAGTAGCTCGACTTGGTTTCAAACGTCATGCTACCGCCGTGCCGAACTCATTTCATAAATTATAAATATATTAGAATACATTTAAAAGTTTGCTAAACCGTTTCTTTATTTTTGTGTTTTGTTTTCAGCAACAGCCGTTCTATTCGACTGAATTAAATTCGACGTCTGAAACCAATTCGTGTTAATGTCGTGCTGAAGTCGAGCCGAAAGCCGAGCCAGCTTAGCACGGCAGTACCACGACGTTTGAAACAGGCCTAAGACTTGTACGACTTAAGAACGAATCCAATTTCAGAGTCTGCTTTTCTAGTAATATCAACTTGCTTTATTAATTGTGCTTTTTTTTTTAGAACTGAACGGATTCAAAGCCGTAAGCCAAAGAGCGTGTCGAGAGAATTGCAATGTACTTGTTGACGGTTATGGAGCATGGGTAGGAGAGCAATGGAGAGCATATCAAAGAGGTACAGTGAAATTAACGCATGATCAGGCTTCTATTTAGCCGCCACAATTGGCTAATCATGCCTACATAAATTAATCTCGAAGGGAATCGAGAAAAGCTGCAAGAAAACCTTGCAGAAGCTGGATAGAGACGGGAAGTGGAAGCTCTGTAAGCATTGTTTTCAATACCTCATCCTGGCATCCCAGCTCCCGGTATACCCTATGATTGGTCGGTCTTGATAGTCAATCACTTGACTTCGCGGGGAGAGAGTAAAACAAACACGTTGAGCGTGTGAAACCTTCCCACAGGGCACATTTGACATTTTGGAGGCTGGACGGGTAGTGGGCGGACGAAGGTAATTGAAAAGATTAGTTGGTAGAATAACTGCCTTCGAGTGAAGGTGGCTGCATGGCTTGATATCCCTGCTGAACCAGCGACCGTGGTCTATAAAGATAATTACGTCATTCGACAATGGGTTTTCTTGCTTTGGCATGACTAACATTTCAATACAAAGGTAAAGTGACACTCTCTGAAATAGTCTAGGAATGAACTGAGAACGAATAAAATATGCAAAGGAAAATTTCCTTCTGCCCTCTTTGAATGACAGATGCCATTGTAACTCAGCAAAGAACAAAACTCTTAAACAAAAAAATTGCTCTTGTTCCAGTCCTTTTTGCCGTCTAGGAGCATTGGAGGAAGAAAATATTGTAGAGATATCGATTTCTGACAACCGAAAATTGTATTTCATCATTTACAGGTCCTCCTTTGGGTCTTAGGAAATCAGGCCATCTACAGGGCCGCGGTGTATTATGGGTTTACGGTGACTCTCTCAACCGGTACTTTTTTCAGTCCATTTTACAACGCCCTCTCTGCTGGCAGGTGTTTCGCGCTTGTTATCACACCATGTTATGGGTGTATGTGTTGACACAGACCGCCAAGGATGAAATGGACTTGATGTTTGGCAAGAGACCTATTAACATTCCCAGGATTCTTTACGAGCTACAGACCGTGGTCACGCGCTCAGACATGGATCAGGACAGCGCGCTAATTTTAAATGCCGGCGTGCATCTGTTAAAGAGCGCCAGTTTCTACGTTTATCAAAAAATAATCAATGGATTAATTGGCGTGCTGAAGCGGCATTATCGAGGTACTGTTATTTGGAAGAGCACCACTGCAATCCACGATCAGAGAGAACTGTACAGCGGCTGCTTCCGGAGATTTCATACCGAACAGGTAAGCTTGCAATGACAGGTACTGCCACAGGCGTCCCAGGTTTTATTGGACATATGATCTCTCACGTGACCGATAGGAGCAGACGACTGAGGAAGACGTGTACGTGATAACGTCGAAATGCCAGTTTCGTTTGCCTTGAATTTTAGCCCACACGATAAAAGGCTTAAAACAAAGGAACATAAAAGTGATCAAATTCAACGGCAAAATTACTAAAAAAGAATTAACTAGGTCAAATTAAAACAATCAGCATGATAAATAAATCCGACCACCCGAAAGAAATATTGAACCGAATGACGTTATCTGTGATTGAAAAATCGAACAAGTATCAAATACTCAGAAAAACATACAAGCGCCAAAGAAAGAGAAACCGGCAGTGGACATGAGAAGAGCTAGTCCAAGATAGTAACAAAATGCGCGGGAAACTAGGGCGAAGGCAAGAAACCACTTCCAGCTGCGGGACAACACTAAGTCAATGATCGATTGATTTTTATGTTTTTGTGGTTATTTTGAAATTCATTGAAACTATTTATGTAATATCTCTTAAGGATATTTATCTTCTATGTAAGCGGTGATATAAACGTTGTCATGTCTAGTAAATACTCACTCAAATTTTAAACACATGATATCTCTGTCTCCGAATCAAATTAACAAAGTCGGTTGAATATCGGCTTCACGTTCAAATTATTTGTTTCGTTTCCTTTTTATCAGCGTGTACAGCTTTTCAACTCTTACGCAAACTGGGTGATGTGCAAGGCCGGATTCATGGTACTTGATGTGTACCCGGTTTCGAGCTCCTACCCAGGAGGGACCCTGGATGGCGTACACTACAGGGACACAGTATTTAATCCAGCGGCTGATGCGATAGAGAGATACTTTCAGACTTAAGCTAGGGGCCCTTCTCAAGGTAGCAGAGTTCCACAGCAAAAAGGTGAAATAACAGAGAACTTCAATGAGTCGATTGTTTCAAGCAGTTGTGTCATGGCGGAGAGAAATCCCAGGCAGTTCATAAGTTGGCGCGGAGTCCGATCAGCAACGGAAGAAACGCAAGAAATTCCAACACATAATATATGGAAAAAACATGTTCCCTTTTCCTACTATTTTCTAGTAAATAGAGTTACAGGGAGAGTAGTCAGGGGATTTTTAAAAAGAGCAGCAAAAAACTATGTGTATGTAATTTTTCTGACGTATCTTAAAACTACCGTAAGCCCGGTTCTAAGATTTCCAAATCAAATGCGAACAAATTCAAAATGAGCCGAACCACACGCCACGAAAAATACTTGCTTGACAGCGGTATACAACAGGTTACTTTTGCTTTAAACATTCCCGTTGATCTTCTTCATTCTAGACATTTTCGACTCGAAAAGGTTGGTTTTGTGACGTATTAAGGAATTTGTTTCCGAAAGGTTCAACACTTTCACGGTTTTTGACATAATTCTCACTGAAAAGAACACACTCATCATTGAGAGTCAAATAAACGAGTTTCTTCAGTTTTTATGTTAACCTAGCACTGCACCTCGATAAAACCTTTTGACTGAAAAAAACAATGTCACCATCATTCTTTTTTTCAAGCATTTCAAACTTTTAAGATAAAAATCAACAGGATTTCCCAACATCGACCAACTAACCAAAGAAGTGCTACAAAAGAAAAAACTTTACGCGCGAAAGCCTTAAAACACAAACCAAAAGATACCCAATAAAACATTGCAATTTAAAAGAGTAATAGACTTTTCTAGGAAACAGCCTTTAGATCTGATTTCCGATTCGACGGTGCTTTTTAGATAGGGCTCTTCTTCGCTTGTCAGTTGGTCGGGGTAGCGTTGCAACAAATCAAGAACTACTCCATTGGTCCAGCCAAAGCCAACCTGGATCGTATACTCACCCCCTCCCGCTGGGGCACCATGCACGCTAACATTGTACTTCTCGAACATGTGTCCCGTCGTGGCCCAAGCCTTGTAGGTTGTAGTAATCCATTTCTGGGCGAAATTAAAGGCTTCCTGCCTTACTTCTTTACTGGTAGACTGAGCAAGACCGGCTATCAGCATATGCTGCAGCGGGGGCCACGCATTTGGGAAATCCCACTGCTGTCCGGAGGCGAAAAGGGAAGTCGGAAATCCCCCAGGGAAATTGAGAACCTGCACGCGCTTGAGTGTACGGAGTACATCTTTCTCTCGGGTCTCGTCTCCCTGGTGAACTCCAGCCCAAAGTGGTACAACACTTGCGGCGTAAAAATCTTCCTGCTTGCTTTTCAACTGACGATCGTAATCAAGCCATATCTTTCTTCTTTCATCCCAAAGAACAGCTTCAATGGCCACTCGACGAGCTTCTGCGTAATTTTCATACTCGTCTGCCTTTTGCTTACTACCCGCGAGGCGCGAGAATTTCTCTAGAAGCTTTTCGCAGTAGAATAGAACACTGTTCAAATCCGTTGGTACTATCTGGCGTGTCCGCATGCTGCTCATTGATCCCTTCCCGGGACCCGTGCCGTTATACCATCGGGTTGAAAAATCCCACCCACTCTCAGCTGCAGACGCTATGTCTTGGTACAGAGTCGGTTTTTCAGCGTCTGATACTGTCTGAGCTGTGTGAACATCTTCATAGTAAGACTCCGGTCTTGGAGTATCCATATCAGCGGCGTAAATAGACAGGCTGTACTTTTTGCCTGGGGATATCTCTATTTCAACCGTGCGGAGTTGTCTCCAAAATTGGTATTCTTTCTCCAGATCATTTAGAACTGATTTAACGTAGTCGGTATCACCAGTGTGTTTAAGGTACAATTCTACGATAGGGATCAGAAAAGGAGGTTGGCTCCGATTCGTGTAATAAATTCGTCCACCGTTTGGGACAAAACCGTAAGTTTTCACCAAATGAATAAAGTTGTCAATCATTCCTTTGACCGTGTCCTTCATGCCGCATATTAGCAAACCCCGGACGACCCAGTACGAGTCCCAGTAGTAATACTCCCGAAACCTTCCTCCCGGGACTATAAATGGATTCGGAACCACAATAAGAGATGATCGTGCCGGATCTTTTCTTGCTTCATGGCTGATATTTCTTCCGAGTTTCTTCCACAGTCCATTAAGCATTAAGGCGAAATTCCTCAGATTAGCGTCTTTTATTTGATCGATTAACATGGGATATTCCACCCAGTCTGGCGGGGACCATTCCTCCAGATCATGTCCTACGGGATGAAAATTTTCCGAAACAAATTTGATCACTTGCTCTCTTGTGAGGTTCGAAGGAAGAGCTTTGAAAGATTGCAACACAGCTTCCTCATCTTTCTGCAATCGCATGTCAACGAATGTTTTAGAATCGTTGAAAATGCGAGCCATTTGAACTTTTCGTAGAAGGTCACCCCGACAGAAGATCTTGCTACTGCACGCTGGTTTTTCAGATTCCACGCGATTTAGAGCAAAAATGAGTTGCAGTAGGAAGAGCAAGCATTTGTATGTCTCCATCTTCTGTAAATCCTGGTCAGGGTCATACGAATCACGTGAGCCAGGAGATGAGTGATACGAAGCAAATTAAGCTCCGTCACGCGTTCCTTTTCCACGTTAGTTGGGAAGGATTGTGTGACGAGCTAAAAGAACGTCTGCCTGGTAGGTTAGGAGGAGAGCCAAGAAATTGTGAAAAAGTGCATGTACGTAAATTACCAGACCACATGCACAGCACCCATTCTGCTCGATGTGAATTGTCTAGAGGGTGAGGCTTTTTAGAAATGTCACGCTGTAACGCACTCTGCAAATTGAAGTAACCAAGTCAAACCGTAAAATTGATTGGATTTTGAGAGTCTTTTGATAGATTGTAAACACACAATGGTCAATGCAGTAATCGCCAGTCATTTTTCTCTTTGCTGGTGCACTTGACGATCTGTTATTTCCGGTTCCGCTTTCTCTGACGGTGCATGCGCAAATGTGTGTTATTGGTTCGTACTCGTGGCAATATGGCGGACGCTGAACGTAGCAGTGAAATTGCCGAAAATTCTCACGAGTTGACCATTACTGAAGAACAGAATACCTCTATCGAGGAAAACGAAAAACCAGAGAAAGAAGCTAAAGAAGAACCTTATAATTACGGGTATTCGTTACCGGAATATTACAAACTTTGCCTGCAGTATTACCACAAAGGTACGTGTCACTTCATCACGGTTTCAATTCTTTCCTGAAACTTTCAAATAGTTTTTACTTGTTCCTGCTGACTTGAGTTTTTCGTGGAGTATTTCCGCTACCTTTTCGTTACAGAAATTTATGATGACTTTGTCTGGTTAAAATTTCATCGCTTATAAACTTTCTGTTGGATTTGCATTGCAAGACCACAGATTTGATTATGTTTTATCTGTCACTCATTAGTATTATACAGTACTTCACCAAATCAGTTTAGGCTACTGGTAATTTCTTTTGGAATTCAAAGACAAGGTAGTATTTTGTGATATTGCATCTGAGAAATACAAAATCACCTTGCTCTGTTACAAAACTGATTTGTTTGTACTTGAAGAAGGAAAACTATATGTTTGACTGTATATTTTGTATTTTATGCAACATAACACTGTACACTGTTTTAGGAGTATCCCTATTAAAGTATATCTTGATCAAACTGTAACACGAATTATAAACCACTAACTGGCATGGGGCAAACTAGTTACAGCAGGGGTATTCTGCAGAACGCTGAATATTAATGCCAAATGACTCTGAAGTTTAGTGATCAGGGTTAGGAAACTCAGTGAATCAGGTTCCATTTAGAGTCATTATACTGGGAAAATTGACCTCAAACTTGATTCATTCAGTTTTTCTAACCCTAATCACTAAACTTCAGAGCATTTGGCGTTCTGCATTCTGCATTCTGCATTCTGCATTCAGCATTATGCCGAACCAGTAAGCCCAAGAAAACAGCTGACTGGACATTTTATGATGCCATGGCTGGTTGCCCTGTGAAATGATGTCTGGGGAATGAATGCAGAAATAGGCCATTTTCAAGTTCCAAAACCTCTAACTTTCAGAACAAGGCTGAGTAAAAAACTTTTTTTGGAATAATGAGTTTCATTTGCATCAGAATAAAAAAGTCATTTTTTTATCCATGGCTTTGCACTTAGCCTGGTTTTGAAACAGAGGCTAGGGCCAACCTGGAAGTGACCTAATTCTATACTGTGAGATTGGCATAGTACTAGTCTTTTGATTGGTTGAATCAAATTTTCAGCCAATCAGAAGCACAACCCAGACCTGGGTAGTGACCATATCATCAGTGGTGGCATCATGAGATGTTAGCTGTTTTCTCAGGATAAAAGCCAGTTGAAATCCTTAAAATGTATTTAAAATCATAATCTGTGAGCAATAATAAACATGTGGTCGAAATTAAATTTCATGCATGTGCGGTAGCAGTGGACACTTAGAAAAATTACTGCGATATTTGGTAGAAATCTTATCAATTTGCGTGTCTGTACAACATATTTGAAACTTATCTCAGCTACTGGGGCTATTTACCCGTACCTCTAGGCAGAAACAGTGCATCTTAAGGTCACTAATAAGCTGGAATTTATGGCCATTGTCTGACAAAAATAGTCATACAGCTTACAATACAGGGAGTAAGCAACTACTATATATGTATTAATTTTGTTATTACTTAAATTTACTTAAAATTAGTAAGTAACTTTTCACAATTGCTTCAGTACTGTTTCTTAAATTCTTGAATCATCCTTTCTTTGTAGAAAAACAAATAATAAAGCTAACATATGATGAGAAAGTTCAGTTGACGGCATATTGGAAGCAAATTTCTAGTGGACCTTATGATCCTGAAAAATACCCTGATGTTGGCTATTTTGATGTTATTGGTAATGATAGAAGGTAACAATTATTGATTTCTTTTCCAGTCAGTACAATCAACCTAATTAGTTTCACATTAAGGTCCTCTTGGATATTTGTTGTTTATGTCATCAGTCCTATTGTTTTTTAAAGTACACATAGAATACTGGATAGAAAGTGCACACGTACGGTGTTTACATGAGTTGTTGACGTATCTATCATTGAAAGAATGAGCACAGTGAATGGGTGAGATTTTTGATACAAAACAATGAGTGCACAAATACCATACAAGGCACTTTTTTGTGGTGTGGTGTTTATTATATTGAGACATACATGTATCATTTTTTTCACATACAGAAAATATTGTTCACCCCTCTAATTAGCTAGAACTCATTTGCATATGAAAATTTACAATCTTTTCAGTGAGAATATCTCAGTATCTAACAAAGTAGTTATGTATTTCACTTTGCTGTGCAATTGTTGAGTTATAACAGTTACTGTAAGTTACAGATGGTTTCAATACATTTGTTGGCTGCTGTCATTGGTCGAAGCTATTACAGTCTAATCTGTGACTAAACAGATACAATCATGGCAAAATTAGGAATGTAAATAACTCTTGTACATGTGGGTAGAAGACTGACAAAACGGGTTAAAGTAGGTGGCAACAATGCAAAAACAGAAAGCTTTCAGTTGTTAATCACAGCTAAATGCCACAGCTCCAATATGTGTTGGGTCTTCTTAAAAGCCCTGCAAAATGGGAGCTATATTGTATCCTTTTATTAATAATGTTTGATTATAGCGCATTTGAATATATTTATATAGAAGTTTTCGCCTTATAAGTTTTTGAAATTAAATTAATTGATTAATTTAATTCAATAATAGGAGAGCTTGGGAGAGTCTAGGGACCATGCAGCCAAGAGAAGCTATGAAAAAGTTTTGTTCTTTGCTGGGTACATGCTCACCTGAGTTGGGACCCTGGATGGAAGCACAGCAGAAAGAAAAAGAAGAGAAGGAAAGACTGAGAAGAGAGGAAGAGGAAAGGTTAAGAAGAGAAGCAGAAGAAGAAGCAGAACGTGAAAGACAGAGATTATTAGCAGAAGAAATGAGGAGACAAGCTGAAGAAGAAGAAAGGTAAGTTCCATACTGCAATGCTTGTTTTGTTTTCACTCCCACAGCCAAGTATTGTAGGCCTAAAGTACCTGAACATGTAACTTTTGAGTGGACAGTACAGTGTGAAACTTTAATTTTTGTATTTCATCTGTTTTAGTTTAGAAATGATAACTATCATTTATTATGCTTGTACTACATTGTAGTTTGTATGATTTAAAGGGGCTGTGTCACGGCAGTCCAGTTCATTTTGTTTAATTTTGCCAATTCCTTTCCCTCAATTGCTATGGAACTTAAAGTAAGCAAAGAGATTAGATGTAAATGACAAAATCAGAGATCTGAGACAAACAAATATGTCTCCTAAGCATTATTTTTGAAGTTGCAAGCAGCAGAGATCAACTTTGAAAAACTGTAAGGCTGAACAGTTTTCAAAAACCCCAATTTCAATCCATTTCAATCTTCTTCAGTTTTGCCCATCCTTGGCATCTGTTGTTTCTGTTATGTTATTTTAACCTTCCTTTAAAGTTTTAAGCGGTTACTTTTATGTTTCTCTTAATTTAAAGGGCATTTTGTAATTTCCTAATTTGGCTGAATTTCGTGACACAGCTCCTTTAAGAAACACTGTTTTTGTGTGGGTTTGTCCCAAGTGTTTCATTACACACCTGGTAAGAGGGGAGAGGAATGGGCAGTAAAATTTCTTTTCTCCCTCCTCCCTAATTTTTTCGGCCGTTTCTCCCTCCTCCCTGATTTTTCACCTTTCTCCCTGATAAGTCTTTTAAGAGGCTTATTTTACTTGCTACTTCACCGCGCTGCCTCGTTTCCACGTGTCTTAAAGGAAGGTAAACATATGAAACATGTTTGTCATGTTGTTATATCTCGTTCTTCCCATACTACCTTTCGGTTTTTGTCATGTAAGCTTGAAGCTTTGATATTTACAACATTTATTTTAACTACGGTATAAAGGTCAGAATAGTTACTCACAACTACCTGCTACTACTTACTACTACTAAATCAATCTATGCATCAGGTGTAATTCACTGAACTTGTAGAGTTTATTTCAAATTGCTGGGTGTTGATTCTTCTGGTGTTTCAGCGTTAGGTCATAAACCATGCAGTGTTAATTTTAGCCTTATACTACTACTTCTACTAGTACTACTACTAATAATAAACAAGGAAGGAGACTTACGAGATTCAATTTCAAAACAATCTTCAGTAACACCGTAAACGGCTTTCACATGAAAATAACATTCACTCACCTTGATTCTCAAAAACTCCGAAAACTTCAGATTCGCGAAAACCGACGCTAAACAAAAGAAGTAACAAAAGCCTGGAATATCACCGCTCGTCCAAGACTGGGTACGGTGTACAAATGATGACCTCACAAGACTCACAAGAGGAGGGCAAGAAATTGTTGAGACTACTTGCAAGAGCTCTTACATACACTTTAACTTGCAGTTCGTGGCCAAAGCTACCCTCATCTGTGAGTCAGTAAGGTCCTTGAATTAAGAGCTACTAAGGCCTTAAACATTCATGTCACAATTTTTCAAAGAACATTCTCCGTCCTCCCTTTTTAAGCTGGTTCTCCCGTCTCCTTATTTTTTTGCCTCCTTTCTCCCTCCTCCCTAAACCGTTCCTCTCCCCTCTGGTAAGCCCGGATAGTGATGTGCCCCTGGAACCCTGGAAACCCTTGCCTATACCAAATTGTGCTACCCTAATCTAGACTAAACTTCTAAAACCTCTCCCTATCCTAGTATGGCTATTTTCCAGAAACTACCGAGGTCAACACTTTCCTTGGTATTAAACTGAGTTGCAGGTAAATTTAAGTTGCTGATTTCAATTTTTTTAAGTGTCAATACTTGGTTTTTCTAGTCTGGAGTAAAATCTTCAACCAATTGATCAGTTTCTTGGAAAAAAAATACTCTATTCTAGACCCAAACTCTCTGATTTTAAACCTCTATCCCAGACTAAACTGCTTGAAAACCATACCCTCCTAAGTGGCACCCATCTATGGCTGGACCCCGGCTAGTAATTTCCCTGTCAGAATTTATGGCAGCTTGCTGCAGGACAAGTTGTCTGAAAAGAAGGCCTTGAACTTTGTTGAATTGATGTTTTTTCAGGAGAAAGCAAGAAGAAATAATGCAACAACAAGAGCGAGAGCAAATTCTTCAACAGCAACAGCAGGAACGGTTACAACAACAGCAGCATCAACAGTCTCCAGGACAACAGGTACATGTATAGTAAGGCCTCGTCCACACTCGAATCTGGATTTTTTGGAAACGGCATATTTTTTTGGATCATGAATCAGCCAACCAGTGAATCGGCCTACCCAAACCACACCTTTCTGAAACCACTCTCCAGAGCAGTTTAAGGTCTAGTCCAGATAGATCCGGGTGAAAAAATACGCAGTTTCAAAAATGTCAAGATTTGTGTGGATGAGACTTAAGATTGTTGTCTCTAGAGCCTACATATGTATGTAACCCTCCCCTTTCAGGGGACCTGCCATTGCTGCTTTATCTCTAAGCCTTCTGAGCCTGTTTTGAGCAAACCCCGCTTTACATTGTATGGACACCTGCTTAATACGGACACCTCATTATTATGGACACCCACTTAATACAGACACCTCATTATTGTGGATGCCCGCTTAATATGGATACCTCATTATTATGGACACCTCATTATTATGGACACCCCCTTAATACGGACACCTCATTATTATGGATGATTGCTTAATATGGACACCTCATTATTATGGACACCCCCTTAATACGGACACCTCATTATTATGGATGATTGCTTAATACGGACACCTCATTATTATGGACACCCCCTTAATACGGACACCTCATTATTATGGATGCCCGCTTAATACGGACACCTCATTATTATGGACACCTGCTTAATATGGACACCTCATTATTATGGACACCCGCTTAATACGGACACCTCATTATTATGGACACTCACTTAATACAGGCACCTTATTATTATGGACACCCACTTAATATGGACACCTCATTATTATGGACACCCGCTTAATACAGGCACCTCATTATTATGGACACCCGCTTAATATGGACACCTCATTATTACAGACTGCTTTTTCCTTGGTGAAAGAAAGCCCTTACATTTCCTCTAAATTCGACCGGCTAAATATTATGGACACCCTGCTAATACAGACACTTTCTCTGCCCCCCTATGTGTCCATATTAGGGAGCTTTAACATCGACGACGGCGACGCCAGCGAAAACGTCACTATTAAAACGAGTTCTCGTTTTTTCTTTTCTTTTTGCGTTTATTCCAAATTGCTGAAAATTTCAAATGCAGGCCAATGTCCTCGAGTTGGTTTCTTGGGGACCGTACTCAAGTTTAGAAAGAGAAAGAAAAATTCGTAGTCGCTTGTTTACATCCTCCATAAAACGGGAAATTAGGCATTTTCACGTCGTAGTCGTGTAGTGACGGCAAGGAAATGTACAAAAAAGCATGATGCACGTGGAAAGCTGTTGTTTTGCTTAATAAACCAATTGTTTTAACTTGTAGCTGTCGCCGTCGTCGTTGCTAAAGCTCCCTATTGACGGCGTGTGACCGTATACACAATGAAGGAATATAGTAAAATGTTCTTGTAAATAATCTTTAAAAAATCTGCAATGTTGGGTTTCATGTGTGCAGTGCATTTTGGAGTTCCTGTGTTGTGTTCATTTGAGAGACAACAGCTATCAGTGAGAGGGTTAGTTTAAAGAGCTGGGACCAATGATTTGTCCTGGCTATCAGAAATGTAATCCCCGGCTACTTTGGTAGAAACAAGTTACAATAACATCGTAAGACAACCTAACATCTACGGCTTCTTCAGAAAAATAATATTAATAATAATTATTATTGGAAGCCTTTTCCGTTCTTTGTATTGGTATTGTTTTTGTAGGGAAGGAGAAATATTGTTCATGTTTATCAGAATTAATGTTTAATTCATAAGCCTGTGTAGTGTAAAGTTGAAGCTTTTATTCCTCTATTTTGCAGCCCAAAACAGTGGCGGTCAATGGTACACCTAGAATAGCACCTGCATCGCTCTGGACACGCCCCAAAGTTCAAGAGTTTATTCAACACGTCAAGTCTGATCCTAGCTCTGTGTTAGTTGTTGGGCGTGGTGAGACAATGACAGTTCGTGTACCCACCCATGAAGGAGGTGAGAGTTTGTAGATAAATTGTGCAATTTTGGTTTTAAATCAAAGATTTCTAAGAGGCGGCAACAAGCTGGTCTGCTTTGGGGGTTAATGTTTCTGGTGGAGGAAGGGCATTGTCAGTGTTAAAATTTAAGGTCCCATAAACATTCAAAAGAAGTGGCCGGAACACCAGTTTCAGTTTCAGCTTCAAATTCAGTTTAATATATGTTTGCTAGAAAAATAAAATCATTCAATACATTGCATACACGAAAAAGAAAAAAAATAGTTGACCGTTAAAGGCGATGTAAATTACTTAAGTAAAAGAACTAGAATTAACACTTTTCTGGGGAGGAAGCTCAAATTGAGCTACCGCAAAGGCAGTAGCAAATTATGGCCGGCCCAATTTTTTTAAACGACCACTTGTAATGAAAAACCATTATTAGTTTTGATGGTTTGTTTTTGTGACACGACATCCAATTTTTGTCTAGGAACATGTCTTTTCTGGGAGTTTGCAACAGAATACTATGATCTTGGCTTCGGCGTCTGTTTTGAATGGTCACAACCGCATACCAAGAATATAACGGTGGCAGTTAATGAATCAGATGAAGATGAATTCGCCGAAGAAGAGAAATCAACGGAAAGCGAGTCCAGTTCCCCGAAGCCGAAAATAGATGAGATACTTCCGGTTGTGCGTAGGCCTTGTAACGAAGAAGTAATAGTTGGTAGTCATATGTACCCAGGTCGTGGCGTGTATCTACTCAAGTTTGATAATTCATATTCACTGTTTAGGTCGAAAACTTTATATTATCGTGTATATTACACTCGATAAATGAGTGAGAACGTTGCTCTGCGGGATGACAAGGAGCATGGAATTTTGATTAAAATACTGGATAAAATTACAGGGAACCCATGGGCACGGAACGTTGTAAGAAAAAGTAATAGTTTCTGTTTTAGGAGTCCCGCTGTTACAAGGCCGTTATGAAACCTGTGATAGAAGCAAATGGTACTTGAAATAAGCAATGGTTATCAATTTGTGCGACTATAATTCATAATTCAGTAAGCTCTTGGCCGGCTCTTGGTGTATTTTTTTGACCAACCTAAGATACTGCAGCTTTGAGAGCTTCGCATCTTAAAGATTAGTTTACCTCGGCTTAATTTATAGATGATAGAGGTTTAATAAGAAAATCTGTTACAAAGACATTTTTATTCTAGAAAAATTGTAAAACAGCATTCGGTTTGTTGCAAAGGTTTGTCATTTGACTGAGTTCATTCAAATTACCCCTTCCTCCCCCGCCTATTCCACGTTTAACGTTGCCTTGCGCAGTTTGACTTTAGTTTGTTTTAGACTTCTCTCGATCTCGTAAAGACTAGCTAGCGAACATGCACTGTAGAGGACTGCTATGCCAGTAAGAGTCATTGTTATCGTTTTCTGACTATTATTGCTATGTTAATAAAATTCTCCGCACGACAGGCTTTGTTAGCCAATAAGAAAAACAGACAATGTGGCTGCTGTCGTTTGGCCCCATTTTAAAGGGAATCCAGGGCAGTCTTGGATTCTGGATTCCACGTACCTGTATTCCAGGTGCTGGAGTCCAGTATTTGTCAGTAGAACTCGGATTCTGGATTCCAAACATTAGAGAGATTCCGGATTTCTTGAGCTGTATTCCCGATTCCAAAACACAGGATTCCTGATTCCACAAGCAAAATTGTCGTCTCAGTGCACCAAAATACGCGTAGCTCAACATTGGGGAAGGAGAGGTGCACATTTGAATGCGTGAGAATAAAGGTGTGAAGAGTTAATGTAAGAAATTTTCGAGAAAATTCAAGAAAAACGGTTTCTGTTTCAACGATTTGTGGCGAGTATTATAGGTCTGCAGCAAGATAGGATATTGTTTCAATAAAGTTCTATACTAAAATAATAAGAAGAAACATTTTAATTTACTGTGGAAGGGGTTGTGTAACCGTGTCCGCCCACGTCACACTCTTAAGCAAGGCGTAAGTCAGCGGCATCAATCCCGGTAGAATTAACTCCCAGTAAATAGTGTCGAACTGAAACCGCAACCGGCGGTGGGAGAAGTTGAACGTAAACCATGCAAACATGTCTCAAGTACGTGTAAAACCAGTTATTAACAACTAATAAAAAAAGCCTACAACACTGTCAGTCTATTAACACATACCGTTTGAAAGGTAACAAGAGAAACACAAGGAATTAACTCGAAGATCTATATAAACAAAGATACCGGGACAAAATATTTCAAGGCCTTCGTTTTGTTGACTACAAAGACAGACGTAAATATATGATCATAAGATTAACAACTGGTACTAACAGTGCCGTGAAAAACACGAGGGCGATATTAGCCTGCGTAGCAAGCATAGCAGGCGCTTGGAAGTAATATGCGACAGAGCGCAACAGAGCGCGCGATGGAGGCTAGGGCGATATGGGCCGTTCTCATGAGCCTGTTTTGTCATAATGGTGTAAATTTCAGGAAAGGTAGCCTGCGAGCAAGCTCTCCATTTGGGGGATATCGTGAACAGTACATGCGCGAGAGGCACGCGAGAGGAGACGCGACTGCGGGGGGCGGCCTCTCGCGGCTTCGCCGCTCGCTCGCGCGTTCTCGCGCGACTCGCTTCGCTAGCCCAAATAGGAGAGTTTGCTCGCAGTCTACAGGAAAGGCAGCAGAACTCAAGTTAAAGAAACCAAGCAAGCTGCTTTAGGTAGAAAAGGCCAAAGGTCAAACGTTTCTACCAATTTTTAACCATCGAGAGGTCAAAAACGGTCAGCATTAACGGTAAAAGAACACAACTCTGTTCAGATTCCAAGTTTTATTGCACTCTTACAGTGGGCCATTATTGACTTATGTTCCATATAAAGTTTATTATCTAAAAAAGGACTACCGTAAGTCTCAAGAAAATAGAGTAATTGACAATATTAACAAAAGTTTTACAAGATTTATTGTTATGTTATTTTCTCGTTTTGTTATTTTAACTCAAGAAGAAGCTTATGCAAAAAAGTGTGAAATATTACCTCTTTATCCTAGCACATTGGTACTTGCTTGCTTTTTAAAACCAATTCAAAAACATTTAAGGAAGATGATAAAATAACGCAGACTTTCAGTGAAATTCTAAACTATAAAAGATATCACACTATTATACTACTACATGAGAAATTTCTGCAATTTGATTGGCTTAGAGCCGTGGTATTTCAGCTTAATTTGAAATACCTACATGTGAAAATTACAAACCTTCTAAGGGTAGTAGTATAAACAATTAATAGCATGATTTGTACGTGGTATTTGGCATAAATACCACTTGTGATATTTCAAAATTGTCTCAAATTTCACTCGCCTAACGGCTCGTGAAATCACGTATAACAATTTTGAAATATCACTCGTAGTATTTATGCCAAATATCACTACAAATCATGCTATTACCTATACTAATTATACTGTACCAAGGTGAAAATAAACGAGTTTCTTAAAAATAATAATAATAATCAGAAATGTAATAAATATTTGACAATATGTTACAGGGAATGATTCCTTACAATCCGCCAACGTACTTCATTCAGTGGAAGTTCTGATCTAATCCTGTGTTACCACTTGCTTCTCGTTTTGCCTCATCTTGAGGTCGGGGCTTATCATCTTTCATGGCGTCCACGTTTCTTTCCCTTTGTACGAACGCTTGGTCACGTGACACTTCTATAATTAGCACGCCTTTACAGCAGAGGTGTGACTTCAATGAACTGAGGTCTGCGTCATCGGGCAGCAAAATGCGATGCCTGAAATCACGTGAACCATCTTCCTCCGATCTGTGTTCTGCTGTAACCATGAGCTCATAGCCTCGAATCTGGATATTGATTTCTTCTCGTTTAAATCCACGCAGATCGAATTTAACCAGGTACTTGTCATCGTTTGCTTTTATTTTCTTTGCAACACGTTTGATGCCATTGAGGACTAGAAGACTGCCATCTCTGGTTACATGTGATGTCACTGTTGTGGGATCTACGTCATCCGGGAGCTTAATGACTTTCATGAACTCACTATTCTCAAATCCATCTTCTCCTTCGTATCGATGTTGGCCGTGTAAGATTATCTTTTCGTCTTCAACACAGAGTGAAAGTTCTTCTGGTTTGTATTGGTTCAGTGGCAGCCAAGCAATTATGACTGGGCCCGAATATGTCTTCATTAGTTTCTTCTGCCGAGCCTGTTCATCGCAGAACAGAGCTGTATGTCTCCATAAATCTTGCAAAAACCCATAACCTGGGACAGCTTGATTGAAGTAGCTGTTGTAGCTGAAAATGAAACAAAAGAAAATTGTTATTTTGTCTGCAGTTGGTGAGACTAACTGGACCAAAACATCTCAGTTGTCTTAAAAATTTGCAAGTCGGATTTTCTATACAGTGTAAATCAAAACGTTCCCGTGAAATTTGAATTGCCGAATTTCCACCCTTGTCTGACTGACGCTGGCAGAACAAAACATTGAGCTTGTCGCGTTTGACCAGTGATTGACTAAATCAGTGATAATATTAAATGCTAATTTTGTAAGAATAAAACACTGAGGAAAATTAAATAACTAAGAGAAAGAAATGCTAGAGGACATTCCCCGCCCCCCCACCCTCGCCTCCTCTCCCTTCTAATTCTCGTTTTACCTTGACCGGTTATAATCCAAAATTGCCCACTAATTTTTGCTCAATATATCCAAACCGAAAGAAAACCCCTTTTCCGTTAAACCAATTGTAGAAAGCTAATTTATTAATTCTGCATACCAAAAAACCTGTGGTAGACCCCAAAAAACGAGGATTCGAGGGTCGTGAAAACAGAATTACTCTTAGATAATAACTCAGTTACTTCAGAGAAGGAAAATTATAATTTTGAAAGGCTTACCAAGTTGGATGAAAAGTCGGAAATCCGAAAGCGAGGTCCAT